CTAGGAATTTCTCAGAACAATCTCGCCTCTTCGCCGCCCACACCTGCGTCCAATCACCAACGTCAAATTGCCAAACACAAAACAAACGTCATCACAAAAGGCACCCTCACAGTCCAAAATGAAACCAGAGAGAGCCACCCCACCTGCATCTTCTGAAGGAGATGTTCTTTGCTTCACCTCTTCCTTCACCCAGACAGAGATCTCCTGCAGGTTGGCCAAGGCTTGGAGGTTCTTCTGAAGTTTCTCCTCTAGATGTGGCACATCACTTGCATCCAGCTGCTTCTCTAGCATCCTCAGCCGCCTCTCCAGCGTCTTTTGGACCCAACCCTTCGAGGCTTCGCTCAAGATGCTCAGGTTCTGGTCTGCGTGCGCCTGAAGCACTTCCAGTCTCAGGCTTTTGTCTGCTTTAAAGCTGTGGTAATGCGAATGCTGCGACATTACACTGTAGATACGAGCAGAGAGCACAGCCTTGGCAAAACCAATCACGGAAGCTGCAGGTGCACCCGCAATCACGCCACACATGACAAACGCACCCAGAAGGGCTGAATAATAAATGGGAGGACCAGCCACCTTGCTCATGCTCCAGAAAAACTCATAGTCAATCTCAACGTCTCTTGGGCTTGGACCTATTGCATGAGTTTTTTCTGCCAATTCTTGACACAGGATCTGTTCATAGGCCCTGGTGCTCTCTCTCTCGGCCGAAGATTTGATCTGATCAACAAAACGCCTTGCATACAAATGCCTTGCATACCAGAAAGCGTTTCGGCGGCGCCAATCAGCAACCTCTGGGCCGAAGGTTTCACACACACGGTTGTGAAATTCTTCCGTCTCTTCGTGGCTGCGAGTCGAATCAAATTCATCAAATTCTGCCATCTCTTCAATCTTGCCCTGGATCTCCAGCCAGGCTTTCTTTTTCACTGGCTCCATGAATTCTACATCCAAATTGCCCAGTAGCTTGCGGCATGCATCAATGTTTGCTTGCCTCTGACGCTCACTTCCCAAGCAGATCTCAACATGGTGGCAAATCTCATCTACCAGGCGTTTGATGTGCCTTTGCATCCTTTCCAAATGTGGCCCCAAGAAAAGTTCCGGGAAGCGCTGGTCAACAGAGCTATAGAGCTCAGAAGTAAAGGTAGCAGTCTCTGGGAACTCATCCAGCTTCTCCTTCAATTCTTCCTCTAAATCTTTTCCGTTGAATTTTTTTTGGTCCTTCTTTTGCATGAGCCTGTTCTCAACACCACGGAAAATGATTTGGCATCGGTGCTGCTCACCTTCACACCTGCACCTCTCTTCATCACTGGCGTCAGTTTCCACACTTGGGAAATTCACGGGCAGAGAGCCAGCGAGGGATGCAGCATGAGCTCTCAAGAGGTAGCTGTTGATGAAGCGAATCCCGAGAGGCTCTGGTTTGAGCTGGGCAGCTTTCCTGCGAACTGTTTGGTTGATTTGATCGAAAGTGTCCTTCTCAAAGACCTTCGTGATGACCATGTAGTAGCCGCTGAAATTTGAAGCTCCGCCAAAGAAGCGCTGCGTGGGATCAGCTCCATCACGGTCAAGCTCTGCAAGGTTTTCCCAGCCCAGCACCAACAAAGCCGTAGAGGCTCGGATGCAACTTCCTCTCACCATAGTCTTGATGAACTCTCCAATGAGTCCTCCTTCAGTCTTACCTGGAAGGTCGACGAGGATCACCGGCAACGCTTCTGGGCTGCGAACAGGAATCTTGATATCAACCGACCACCCGGCGCAAAGATATTGTGAAAGGACATGTGTCTCTTCCTCCGAAAACTTTTGGACGAAGATTTTGGAGTCCAGAAAATTCCGGAGGCCTTTGTTCATCTTTTCGATGGCTTCATGAACTTCTTCAGCTGTGTTCACCTCTCTGGCCTCCAGCACAGCTTTCAACCTGAGAAAAACATTCGCAAGATGGTGGAACAACCCAAATCTGGGAACTGGAACAACCAGGGTCTATCACCGATTGGCTGATTTTCTGAGGTCTGAACTCTTCATCAACCTTATCCTTGAACAAGTCTGGATGATCTCTTAAGCCCTCACCACGAAGCTCGACATGGAATTTCTTGCCTGACCAAAAGCATGATCGCAAATGAGAAGAAAACTGAATCAAGCTCCAACCAGAAATTTGAGGCGAGTGGCCAACAGCTTTGAAAACAACAACAACTTCGGCAACCGACAAACACCTCCTTGAGGGATGAAGCGGATCGGAAGGAACGAATCAGGGGCCGCTGAGGTGCTTGCAACCTCCTTACCCAAGAGAGCATTGGCCAATGAACTTTTTCCTGCCTTGGTAGGTCCAGTGAGGACCACCTCTGGCAACAGCATATCATCCATCCTCTGCTTCAATATCTTCACCTCTTCATGACATGGCTTCAAGGGCTCGGAATCAAGGGCAACGTCCTCGAGGATAGCTTCTAGAAGGCGAACAAAGTTCTCACCCAAGCCGTCTGATGACAAAAGCTTTGCTACACCTCCTGGGCCCTCTGAGGCAACCTGGTTTGCAAACTCTTTCTTGAATTTTCTTATCTCTTGTTGAATTTTCGTTGGCTTACGATAGTGCGGCAAAAGCTCATCTTGAATTTCGTCGGTGACAAACAAGGGCTCCCTGTTGTCGAGGTGTGCTGCAAAAGCAGCTTCCAGTTGCACCAAGCTCGGTAGGGACGTATAGAAGGCATCTGCATCTTGAAGGTTGTGCGCCAGTCTCCAGAGATACTTATCTACATCTTTGACCAACCCCATGAATCTTTCCTTCAAGTCATGGGGCCTGTCGTCCAATTTCATCCTGCACATCGTCAAGATGAAGCCACCCTTGAAGAAGGCCTCCAGGAGCAACTTCAGCATGTCTGTTGAGTCTTGAGGTACATGTGCAAGCTGCTCGACAAGGACGTGCAAATTCTTCTCCAAATCGTGCACGTTCGACTTCATTCCTTCCAAGTCTGTGGTGTACATGTTGGCCAAATAGCGGGTGGTGCCTGCAAGCTGGATAACAAACTGCTTGATCAGCGCATCCGAGACAATTTCTTTCAAGCGATCAGCACTCAATAGCCTCTTGAGTTCATCGGCTGCTTGCCTCACTTGCTCTCCGACCTGTTGTTTCACTGCTTGGACACCAATCGTGAGCATGGCCTTCTGCTGTTGGTTGGTGATGGTGCGGATGATCTCATCGACATCAGGGGCCCCAGTGCGAAGGATGAAATTGCACTTGAGCGACTGGTGGTAGGACTCCATGCTATGGTTTTTCCCGGGTTTTAAGCAAGTCATTGCAATAAACGATGAAATTATATTAAGTTGGCATCATAATTATCATAATGCATCATACAGAAGGACACACAGCCGCAATCAAATTTTGATCCAAGCATCATTAGGTTGGATCCGAAAACCCACAAGACATTCAAGGCGTTGCCAACTGCTGGAATTCTTTGGAGCAAAGACGATGAATCTGTCTGAAAGTCGGTGAACGGATCTGCAGGCAAATGAATATGTTCACCCCAAGGTGGCAACTTTCCCACATGGTCTCCGGCATGCTGGAAACCAGCCCACCGCAGGTTCTTTCGGTTTCTGAACTTCTCGGCAAACGTGGATGTCCCAACTCGAGGGCAGCCGAAGACAACGACATTCACCTCTGCATCTCGGAAGTCGTTGGCCAACAGCCAACCAGCCAAAGTTGCAAAAGCTCCACCGCGAGAGTGACCAGTCAGGTGGATAATCCTGGACCCTTGACACCATGATTTGAGGCCGTCATGGAACTTCTGCATTGCATTGGCAAAGCCACGGCAGATCGAATCATTGTTGGGCAAGGCGTGCAAGTTTCCTGTCTTGCCAAGCCAGTGCGCGCTGTCCGCGCCAGAACCGCGGAAGCCCAGCCATACTTCCTGCCCATCTCTCTTGCCGATGATCCTGTCATGTTCATCGACGACCAACTCTTCGTACCCAGGGATATCACCATCTTTGTAGGAAAGACGGGCAAGTTCTGAATATTTCCATAGTAGCGACTCCTCAAAGCTGATATTGGACTTCTGCCCTGGGGAGATGAGCTCCTTCAAGAAGTCCTGCGCCATTGAGCCTGTCCGAAATCAAGCTGAAGGAACCCAAATGGTGTTCCAGGATGTTTGAACCTTTGTAAGACCCCCAAATGTTGTGTCACAAAGCGAGAAGAATGAACAACAAAAGGTGAACGATAGAATGCTCATTGGCTCATTGGTCAACCAAACATCTTCGCACGATCTTGCTGGCCCATGGAAGGCCCAAGGGAGAAGTCATGTTCCATATCTATCCATATCTTCAGAAACAGGGGTGTCTGATGGTGTCTGAAAAGCTTCTGTTGCATTGAACCCCAAAATCCAGAATGATACTTCAATATATTTCAATGATCTTCAAGGCTTTGCCCACCTTTGACAGCAAAGCCGCGTGTCTGTCATTCAAGCGCAGCCAGGGCTGCTAAGGGGAGACGTCGGTAAGTGTGCTACCACAGGGCTGATGTTGTGGAAAGTCGTTCAAACACTAACTGCTTGCTGTGTATGAATCAATTTGTCCAGTTTGCACAGGTGCTTCTTGAAGCATCAAATCTTGTCTTGTCAATCTGTGCTTTGCGTGCAGTTGCCCTCTCTATACCCAGCCTATGCCTTGATGCGCAACGGACCACGCAAACGAGCAATGTACAACAGCAGAAGTAAATGCAGCATGACTATGCATGAACCAGGAAGCAACACCTGCTGGTGGAGTTCTTGCTGTCTTGATCTGGCAAATCAAACGGATGGTGCTCTTTCCTGCCGATGACCAACACGTGTGACTTTCCACTCTGCACGTCAAAAAGAAGCCGGAATGGCACCGTTCAAGTTTCTTCCAAAGGCGGTAGCTCAAAGCAACGCCTGCCAGACCCGCCATGCTCAAGCAAACAATCCATCTATCGCAAGCACTTCATGGCCCCAAGCTGAAATTGCAGGAATTGACAGGAAGCTAACTGCGCCTTGGTCAAGGCTCCAAGTTTCTATCAAGGAAGGCTCCGTGGGATCATCAGCTTGCAGTTTCTTGGTTTCTGAGACCTTTTCCAAAGTCCCTACACAGCAATTTCCGCACTCCAACTGAGAACCCTCCATAGCCTCAAGCATGCCAAGCAGGATCCCTTTGCTTGGTGGCTCCTGGCGCGTCTGAGCAGCAATTGCCATGGTCAATTTCCTAGCAAAGTCACCCACTGCCAAGCTTTCTGTACTATATAATCTTGCAGCAGCAAGTACAATTCGAAGGAGATTGTTCAAGGAAAATCCCTAGTTGAAAAGAATGGATTCAACTTGATTCAACATTGGATTTTTCAATCTGTGGGTTCCATGGATCACAACACCTGGCTACCAGGATCTACAAGGCACACACACACACCTATCCTTTGTATTTGCGAAGAATTCTGTCTGATCCCAAAACCACGTCTCTATGGTGTGACTAGACATTGAGCTTGTACTAAGTCAAAACGGAATGACCCGTTTGACTACGGAGGTCAGCATCTTTGGTTTCAATTCAGCTTATAACCTTGGCTTGAGAATTGCTTCCGGCTCTAGATTTGAGTACGGTTCGAAAAGATTCGAAAAGGTTCGAAATCATGGACCCACAATTTCTTTGGATTTATATATATTATATTTCATTATGCCAAACAACCCTTGCCATCTTAGCCCGGCCTGGGGGAATCATGTGACCTTGGCAAATGGTCCCTAGCCAGTCTCCCCGGAGCCTCAGGGCTAGCTGCAATGGGCTGGATGCAGGTCACCATCGCCCAAGACAGACCTAAGACGTCGAACAACAACAGCTGTGGATTTCTTCATGTCTTGGTCTCTAAATCAAGATCACTTCATCACATCCTCCAAAATAAAAACATAGATGACATTGCCACAGTTGACCAATACTCACACCTAGTCTCACTTGTATATGTTTGTTCTCAGGATTTCAGAACCTTCCAAAGAATGCAAGCCCCACATATCAATGACATCAAGCTACAAAAGAAATCATGGTTTATCGAGGAGAATTTGCTCACCTTCATCCATCAAAGTTCATCGTTGGAATCTTCATCCAGCAAAACTGATGCCTGGATTTGTCAATCCCAATCAGCTGGTCATTGATTCGACACCCTCGCATACTCTGGGGCTTCGGACGCCAACTTGAGAAGCAATCTCCTGGAAGGGCAACCGCCAATACACCGTGCTAAAAACGAAATCAAACATTTGGGATACCAACTGGTCAAGTTGATTTTCTAACCATCCAACTTCTGGGAACAGACATTTGAATCACATCCAAATCTGATTGGTGGACTATGAGGAAGAATGGTTGACAATGGCGAACTGTTCCCCGGCCAATCTACCTTAGAATCCATCAAGACCTCTCAAACACTCGTGCCATGACGCCAGCATCCATTGATCCACTTCCCATCTTGCCAGCCTCTAGATAGCTGGGAATCTCATTCCCTTCGTAGAGTGCTGGACCTGCAAATGCTCAAAAATGCTCCTCAAATCCTTTAGGATTTCTCTGTTTTTGACCTGCACAAATGGAAAATGCCAACTCAACAATAAAACACATAGCAGTATCATATCAATTGGAGGTTTGTAACACTTAAGTACATCAAATCAAATGTTTCATTCAGTGAGTGTTGTGGATCAAAAGGTGCCATCATGTGCCATCACTGCAGTTGCACCTGATCTGGCAGTCTGATGGCAGACCTTGAATGGGCAAACTCCGGTGTTTCAAGACGTGGGGAACCCGTGGGGAACCCGCATTTGAGGTACGCCATGGTACGCCACAAATCATTGGAGTACCAATTGATTCACAGAACCACTAGTAACTTAGTACGGAAGATTATGGAAGTATTTCATCCAGAAACTGGAAATCTTACGAGGTGGATGTAATCCACTTCAACGTTGATTTCCTTTGACACAATCAAGAAGTCGTCTCGTCTGCTCAGCTGCACACATCTCTCGGCATCTCTTGTCATGCGCAGTTGACCAATCCACCAAACAAGTACGGAAACTCAGAAACCCATGAAAACTCCTTTGTTTTCTCAAGGATGAACACCTGAAATCTGTGAGCCAAAAAGAAAGCAATGTTGCTTCTGAATGGATGAAACGACTGAGGCGTATTTGAGCAACGGTTTTCAACTCTGTCAACTGGCACTGGAAGTCAATGCAGCTTGTCCCTTGTCCATTTTTGTTTCACGTGGTGATATTGCACTGCTTCAAATTGTCCGCCGTTTCCGCTTGGGTCAACATGACGTCCAGTATGCAGCACCGCTGTCTCAATATCACTGTTTTCCTGCGAAGCAAACAGCTTAGCAATCATTGGCAAAGTCATGCAAAGTCCAAAAGCCAAGAAACGTATCAGTATCAGGAGAAAAAGCAGGTTTGCCAAGTCTGGACGTTGAGTTGAGCATCACTCATTTTTTTTAGTAAAAGGGAATAATTACGTCTAAAACGATTCAAAAAGGGTGTCCTGAGACTCCAAAAGACCATAAAACAGCCGCTTCATCCGCTTCCTTGTAGCTACGCCAGAAGCATTGGTTTTGGAAGACTCATGTCCTCGCCAAAACTTCACCTCCGAAGTTGTGGACCATGAGAGACCTCGCTGTGAAATCCCGTCCCGTTGCAGGGCTTGAAAGAGGCCGAAGGCAATGAGACACTACGAATGGCTACACCTTTTTGCTGCACGTGCTCCTCTTGGCTGTGAAACGGTAAGCGTGTGAAACGATGCATAGAAACAGCGTTACAGTAACTGTGCTACAATAATCTTATAACTTATAACATATTAATTAATTACAATAGTTCTACGGTGATTCCGTGCCAACATAATTCACGCAAGCTGCTTGGCAGCACCACGTCATCCAAACCCTGACTGAACTCCCTCCCGAAGGTCAGTGTCTGAAGGCTGCTTGGCAGCATGACACCTTCCAAGCTCTGGTTGAAGTCTTCATTAAAGGTCAAAGTCTGCAGGCTACTTGGCAGAGTGATGCCTGCCAGGCTCTGGTTGAAATTATAGCCGAAAGCCAAAGTCTCCAAGCCAGATGGAAATGCGACACCGTCCAAACTCTGGTTGAACTCCCTCCCGAAGGTCAGTGTCTGAAGGCTGCTTGGCAGCATGACACCTTCCAAGCTTTGGTTAAAGTCATCCCCAAAGATCAAAGTCTGCAGACTGCTCGGCAGAGTGATGCCTACCAGGCTCTGGTTGAAATGATAGCCGAAAGCCAAAGTCTGCAAGCCAGATGGAAATGCGACACCGTCCAAACTCTGGTTGAATTCGCTACCAAATGCCAAAGTCTGCAGGCTGCTTGGCAAGATGACCCCTGCTAAGCTCGTCTTGAATTCCGTCCCAAGTTCTAATGTCTGAATGCTACTTGGCAGCGTCACACCTTCCAAGCTCTGGTCAAAGTCATTATCAAACATCAAAGTCTGCAAGCTGCTTGGCAAGGTCACACCCTCCAAACTTTGATTGAACTCCCAGCCAAATTCCAACTTCTGCAGGCCGCTGGGAAGCTTCACATCTTTCAAACTCTGGTTGAAGAACTCCCCAAAGATCAAGGTCTGTAGGCTGCTTGGCAACATGATACTTTCCAAGCTTTCATTGAAATTATTGCCGAAGGTCAAAGTCTGCAAAGTGCTTGGCAGCTTCGCAGCTTCCAACTGCTCCTTGGAATGATTGCCCAACGTCAAAGTATGCAAACTGCTTGGCCACGCAATCCCTTCCAAGTTCTGGTCAAATTGGTAGCCAAAGGTCAATACCTCCAGGCTATTCGGCAGCGTTACACTCTCCAAGCTCTGGTTGAATGCCTCACCAAACTTCAATGTGCGCAGGCTGCTTGGCAGCGCAACACCTTCCAGACTCTGGTTGAAATTGTCGCTCAGGGTCAACGTATCCAAGCTACTTGGCAGTGTGACGTCTTCCAAGCTCTCGTTAGACCACTTCCCAAGATTCAGGGTCTTGAGGCCTTCTGGTAGCGCAACACCTTTCAAGCTTTGGTTGAAAGCAACACCAAAGGTGAGAGTCTGCAGGCTGCTCGGCAACGAGACACCTGCCAATGGCTTGTTGAAAGACGGCCCCAACTCCAAAGTCTGCAAGCTACTTGGCAGTGTTACTCCTTCCAAGCTCTGGTTGAAAGCCCAATCAAAGGACAACCTCTGCAGGCTGTTGGGGAGCTTCAAACCCTGCAAGCTCCGATCGAATTCCGCACCAAAGTTCAAGACTTTCAGATTGTCGGGCAGCAGGACACCCTCCATGTTCCGGTCAAAATGAACACCGAAGGTCAAAGTCTGCAAGCTGCTTGGGAAACTCACATCTTTCAAGCTCTGGTTAAAGTCATATCCAAAAATCAAAGTTTGCAAACTGCTCGGCAAAGGGATGCCTTCTAAACTCTGGTCGAACGTGTAGTCAGTTTCCAATGAGGAAACCGCATTGATTGCACTCAAATCTGCCGCGGTCAAGGCTGTCTTTGACGTATCTTGTGCGGCTTGGTGAAAACTCTTTACAGCCTGGTAGGGACTGATTTGCTTGACGACGAAGCTGATTTCCCCAGACTCTACTTGTTGCAGTAGTGGTTGGGAGTCATTCAAGATGCTGCCACCCGAAGTCAGCACCAAAGTGCTACTTGGTTTCATCTCCATCTTCTCTGAAATTTGTTTGGAGACATCTGCGACAGTTGCAGCATCGCCAACTTGAAGCTGAAATGTCGATCCATCCAAACCCTGGATCTTCAAAGAGTTCGCCCCTGACCCGTCAGCATTGGCTCGAGCACGCTTCTCCTGTGCTACCAGCCTCAGGTAGTGCTGGCTATAAGCAAAAGAAGATTCATCGAGAACAAAAGCCTCTGCAAGACTAGAAAACAAGAAATCCCAAAGGGACAACCGAGACAACTGAACCAATCGAACACTCTCTGAACAGGACTTGCATTCACGTCCGATTCATGTCCCTTGGCATTTCAGGGATTTGCAAAGATTTGCACATCGGTCAAGCATGGTCAAGCTATGCCAAGAGGCTGCTGGGCTGTGGCAAGAACCTCTTCGGCTTGCTCGAGATTTTCCGAGATGAACTGCTGCATGGTGGCTTCATCCAGGCTCGATGCACCCGCACCCATGGCGTTGGCAGTTGTGGCACTGATATCCACTGATGTTACTGATGTGAGTTGCACAAGTCACCTAGCTTTTGGGGAATGATACCGATTCCTGGATTGCCATTGATCCTGTAGACTACTGTATAACACATTATAACAATCTGTGAAGGAATCCGAACACCTTGGGTGCTGGCAATTGAGACTGTACCAGGTGCAAACGTGTTTCGCATGGGAAGTGTCCAAGACAGCAAAACGACAAACATTAGCCGTTCAAAGGTCGGGCTACTAGGCCACAAATAACAAACATCAATAAGCATCAGCATACATCAACATACAACAGATGTTTGATGTTTGCTCACCTACTACTTTCTTTGGTTTCTTCACTTACTAAGACATCAACAGACCAAAACATCTCTTGAGCTGCGGACTCGGCCTCAGCATCTTGTGGACGACCTGACCTGTCAGGAATTGGACTGAAGCCAAGCTGACGGATTTGTCCAAAAACTGTTTTGTAAAATACCAAATCCAATCCAAATCCATCAATCCATGCAGGCATGCCAAGATGACCCAAGATGACCCAAGATGACCCAAGATGACCCAAGATGGCTTTCCTGGTTTTCTATGGCTTTCAAGATACTTCTCTGGCTTCTTGGCGCAGGTCTGCCCGCAAATCTGCCGGGCCTGGTACTGCTCAGGGAAAAGATGATCCGAAAGTCGTCAAGGATCTCTGTCAAGTCCCATCGCTTGAAGCATCTTGGTCACCATGTGGCTCTTCGTCCTGAACAGCTTAGGCGCGCTTCTAAGGTGAAGTCATGTCTCATTCATTTCTGACTTCTCTGGATATTGGATATTGGTATGGATCAACACATATCAACACCTAATTAATCGTGGAACCATAATGAACCATATGATATCATATGATCATCCAAACAATGGATCGCTGATGTGAAAACTAAAAGCTTCGCCAGGCTAGATCATCCCCCCAGGCCCCCAGGCCCGGGCCTCATAGTCTTCGCTGTAGCCCTCCGAGCCGTCCTGGCAAACTTCACTGCAGGACACGAGCACAGCTTAGGACTGGGTGCAACGGTTGCACCCCATCGGTTTCATACCGACCGTCTGGGGCAAACCTCTCCCAAACTGCTTGAACTTAGCAGTGTGGATGCGGAATCATTGCAGTTTGTGGGGTAATTTTCGCCGAAAGTGCACTTAACTAAGCAAACCAATCTGACCTACTTACTAGTAGCCAGAAACAATCATTTCATCAAGTGGCCCCCCTTGAAACACTCGCTTCGCTGCACCTCTGCAAGGGGGGTCTCATCTTGAGCTTCGCCTCAAGACTGGATCAGCATGGGAGCTCTCCAGTTGGTCTGCATCCCCCACTGATGTCAGCATGAATCTCATCTTGAAATTGGGCATCCACCTGACCATCATTCTCCACTGCACCTCAAACACCCCCAATTTCACCTGGATTGATCTGAAACTAAGCTACTGGTATGTCTAAACCCCAATCTTGACAGGTTGATCATAATTTTCCCCATCTTTTGAATGACCAACCCCCCCCTCCAAACCCTTGGATCCACAGCCGAGGATGGCCTGGCCTTCCAGCTTCGAAGCCAACGACCAGAGGTGGGCCGAAGGACCATCGCCTCCTCCTCAACTGCAGAGGGTTGGATCTGGGTTGGATCATCCAGGTGAAAAGTGTGGAAAACATCACTTTACGAAATGAATTCCACCCATCCTCCAAGAGTGGACATGACCAAAACCATCCAAAACCTATAAAACTTCTAGAAACTGAAACAGATGACATCTGAAATCTAGCTACCATTGGACCATGTTGCCACCTTTAGGTGCCCTTCTTGGCCGAGAAGCGAAATTGAAAGGCCCCTTGAGCCCTGCCAGCGAAGTCCCCGGCCGCACGTTTCAGCACTAAGGCCTGGCAAAAGCACCACCATCAAACCATCAAGTCGTCATCCATTAATTAACACAGCTATGCGTGGAAAATGGTCTATTTAAAGAGAAATTAGCTGTTAAACATTGTGATTTTCCAGCGCTACCATATTATAACACATATGTAATAGTCAACAAAACATGAGAATTAATCATGATAGCAACAAACATACTGTCAATGAATCATCATCATCATTATTGTTCACTACCACCAAACCTTCATGATAACATTGATTTTAACTCGTTAACCCTCGGTGCCATCATGATCCACATGAATCTGCATCCGCATCTGCATTGGTCATCATCCATCAAGTGTTGACTGTAGGATATTGTAGAACCCTTGCATACTCTTTTCTTGCCAAATGGATTTTGACAACCCGAGTCTCAACTAGAAAAGCAGCACAAAAGACGCTGAGCAAATCCGACGCCTCTCTCTCCTCATGAAGCAGCAAGTGCCATACCTTTCCAGCTCATGACCGGTACAAGTCCCTGCAAAACTCCTTCATCAAACATGATTCTGCAATATCACCAAAAGTCAAAATTCATGATTTTTCCCCATTTCTCTCCATTTTTTCCACATTTTTTTTCAAGTGCAAGACACTCGTGGCTCCCTGGCCACCGCCGCTTCATAGGCCGCTCCTCCCCGCGCCACCGCCGCTGGCAGCGTGGCTCGCAGCAACTCCGCTGGCAGCAGCCGGCCGCGCTCGCAGGTGGGCCACAGACTGAAGGACGCGGTCACCTGCAGCTTTCGAACAAATGGTGCAAAAGGGTATCTATGATGATCTATGTTTGTTGTGTTATATCATGTTATATCATATGTTTAATGTGATAAGTATCGATCTTGGTACCGGTTTATCATAGTGGGCTGCTGTTTCATGCAGTTTTGCTACAGGAATTCCATGGAATTCGACTACTGCATGCCCGATCGGTGCAGCATCTCGGCCTCTCCCAAGCCAAGTTCACTTCCAAGGACTTCAGGAAATGATTCCGAATGCAGGTCCTGCCAAAAAGTCGGGTTTCACAAAAAAATGCCTGGCATCACTTTGCCTTTGGAAATCAGTGCAGCTTTGTGAAGCATCACTAAATCAACAGCATTTCTTCAGTTTCAGCTTCCAACAATTCCATGATCCCCATTTTTGATGCAGTTTTTGCATGTACCATGTTGTTTTTAGTCCATTTCTTGGTGTAATCTGAAAAAAAATACCGAAATCCCAGGTGAACCTCCCACCTGGCAACCGGCCAACAGCAGGTGGATCTGCGGAAAGGGCTGCAGCTGGAAGGCGGCTGAAGCCAAGGGGGCGGTCATCAGGGCCTCCAGTTGACTTTGCTGAAAATCCTCAATTTGTTCATAGACTTTGGTGAATTCCATTGAATTTCGATGTTCTGATGTTTCATGTTTTTGGCTGGTCTTTTATGTCTTGTTGAGATTTTCTATAAATCTATGATATTCTAGTCTATGATGATTATAATGCTTCTCCCCCACAGACACTCTCGGCTTTGTACCTCGCTTGGTGATTGGTACTGGATGCCTTGGAGTTTCTAAGGAGTTTGCACCCGAGACTCCCAACCTCCAACAGAAGGACGCAATCGCGAACATCCAGGCCTCCCAGTTGGACACCAAACACAGGACACGGGTTTGGAGCACTAAAATCACTAAAAGACATCCAAGAAATTGCCGGTGAACCTTCAGCATCACCCAGGCACATTCCAATCAGCAGCCCCAGGCCGGGCAGCTCCTAAGTTCTTCGACATCCGTGGCCATGGCTGCTGGGGATTTCACATGGTGTGAAACCAACCAAATTCATGATCTGTCCAAGTAGGGCATGTTGCCAACCGCGACAGTGGGATGTCTTGATGGGATATCTTGATAAGATATCTTGGCATATCCTGGAAACAATCTGAAACATGGATTCCTTGAACCCGCGAAAAAATGTTGGAGGTTTCATGCCTTTGCCAAGCAGAGTGGCATTTGGAACGCATCAACTTGTTGCCAAAAACTAAGTCGCCAAAGGAGATCGTGTTAAAAACCGCTGTGCTTGCCCTTCAAATTACCAACATCCTCAAACCAATGCATGGAACTACCAAAACTACACCCACTCATTGTAAATCTCAGAAAAATGGCAAGAAAAAGAACACCCAGTTTCCAGCTGGAACACATATAATTCGATTCTATCAATATGTCCAAAAAACGGTTCATGACAACCCGCCATCTACCCAGCTCTACCCAGCAGCATAAAACCCAACCAGCCAAGCAACTTCTCCGGCACCCAGCAGAATGGCCAGGGGTTCTGCTACCAACTTCCAAGCCTTGGTGTACAAACGACCAATGGTAAACATATGGTAAATATATATATATATTATTTTATATTATATATTATATTATATTATTTTATATTATATTGTATTGTATTATATTATATTATATATATTATTATATTATATTATATTATGTTATATATTATATTATATTATATTATATTGTATTGTATTATATTATATTATATTGTATTATTTTATATTATATTATATTATATTGTATTATATTATATTATATTATATTGTATTGTAATATTATTTTATATTAAATTATATTATATTATATTCTATTATTTTGTGTTATATTATATTATATTATTTTATATTATATTGTATTATATTATATTATATTATATTACATTATTTTATATTATATTGTATTGTATTATATTAAATTATATATTATATTATATTATATTATATGTATTGTATTATATTGTAGTGTATTATATTATATTATATTGTATTGTATTGTATTATATTTATTATATTGTATTGTACTGTATTATATTATATTATATTGTATTGTATTGTATTATATTATATTACGAATTATATTAAATTATATTGTATTGTATTGTATTATATTGTATTGTATTATATTATTTTATATCATATTGTAATGTATTATATTATATTATATTAAATTATATTATATTGTATTGTATTATATTATATTATATCATATTATATTATATTATATTATATTATAATATATATATATATATTATTATATGGAAATACATGCACTGTGCACATATTGCCAAAAAAATAGGAAATCTATGATTTTGTCCAGTTGGTTGCTTTCCCCTTTCCAACAACTTTGGATGTGCATGGATGCAACTGTCTCCCCCGGCCATTTGGATCCATGGTTACGCTAAAAGACGCCGTTGCTGAAACCAGGGCACACTTCGACTTGCAGACATGCCCGGCAAGAGCGCCAAGACATGAGGACTCTCTCCGTCCTGGCAGAATAACAACAGCAATGACCAGAAGTGAAACAAAAGCTGCTACGTGGAAATACACATCCGGATCATTCCGGATCTCTGAATTTACTGTTAGAAGACGTTTCAGGCAAGAATTCCTAAATTCTGTGATAGTTTTTGCTTCATGCATTTGCAGATCTCCACGTCTTTTTTTGCAAGGAAGATGTGACATACCACGGCCAACCATTCACCAACCATTCACCAACCATGCACCAACCATTCACCAACCATTCACCAACCATTCACCAACCATTCACCAACCATTCACCTCTGCCATATCCTGCCTCAGGGTGTGCCTGACGCTGTCGCAGAAACTGCAGAGCCGCTGGATCTGACAGGTCCAACAGGATCAAAGATTCTCCTGAGATGGGAATGCCAACCCCCGCGGTCGGTTTACCCTTTGGTTATTTAACATAGCCATGGAAAATGGTTGATTTTCCCATTAAAACCTCCATATATAAGGGATTTTCCATGGCTATGTTAAATAACCAGATGGTAATTGAGGTGCATACCATATTTTACTGTCTGTAATCAACAAATGGAATTAATCACTTCAGAAACTTCAAGGGAAAGACATGTATGAGACATCAAAGATGTTGATTAATTGGATCGCCCTGGCTGAATTATTAGGTATGGCATGATCCCGTATCTTCAATTCATTTAAAGGCAAACTCTTTTAAGACTGAGATCGCTCATAGAACAACCGCTTCCGTCCTTCAGCATGCCGGGGCTCCTTTTGGAACCACATGTCGCCAAATTGCTCCTATCGCACATTTCCATGAATTACACTAAACTTCCAAGCACTTCCAAAAGTTCCAACAAGTAGAACGATCCCATGCCATCCCTCTTCCCCTTCGCTTTTGAATGGCCTCAACCCATCTTTTGATCCACATGTCTCCAACTATGGTCCATTTTTTCCAGATTGGATCGAACACATGGTACAATAATAGTACAATCATGGGATAATTTCTAGCCATATTTCTCATACATCTTTCCCATCTTACATTTCCCATAAAATATATCAATATCAGTACATATAATATACAATTCACTATGCTTCACATGTGTATCCAATTCTGGTGGCTATGATTTCCCAGAACTTTTCCACATCTTTCCACCAGCCTGTGCCAACTTCACCAGCGCCGCAGCAGTGCACCCCACGGTCCGCAGCGTCGCTGGAGCGGCACAACGACGATGCGGTGCTGCGGGTGGTGCCACGACAGGGAGGACCTGGGGGCTGTTGAGAACGGGATTCTGTTAATGGATTATGATGATCACTATTGGGGATTGTTAAGTATATTGGGATACAATCACAATCAATCATATATAATCCCTATACTGGTGCTATATCAATAATCAGTATAATACTCACAATCCCCAATATAGGTGGATAGTAGTATCCCCAAACTAATCATCAACCAGGCGGGGTTTTGAACACTGCTCACACGTCTGGGTTTTGTTTTAAAAAAATGAGCCCACAGTGGGATGGTTCGAATATAAGAAAGATTAATTAACAACATTTGGGAGTGGTGATCAAAGAATTCAAAGAGGAGAAAACTAAACCAACAAAGTTTCAAACTAACATCATATTGCAGTTACAATCAAGATCCATCAGTCCTTTGGGTGTCCAAAAGGATAGAAAGAGTAATACTCGGCTGGAGATTTACTTGTCTGCCGTGACAAAACTCACTGTCACTGTGCCTCAGCAGACTGCAAGAAGTCGACCGCACTCTCCAACGCCTGACATGGACTGTGTGTGCCCAGCCACTTCAACCCTTGGTCGTCCCTTCACAAAAAGAACTGGTCAGGTGAACTCAGGTGTCCCAGAAATCATCATATTCCTCGTTGATGCCATTTTGCTGGGTTTCCAGCGCATGTGGTCCCAAATCCTGTCCCATCGGTTTTGTATGTTTTTGTGAAAAGAATCCGTTCAAGTTGCTTCCATCACCCTCCTCATCCCAGGGTGGCCGGGTACATTTTCCATTGAACTCCCTGTCCATTTCCATCAATTTCCAGACTGCTCCATACAGCCAACCACCAACCCCCGCCGTGCCGGATCGTGCCGGATCCTGCCGGCCTCTCTGAGGTCGGCCTCCAAAACCCCGAAGCCACCAATCAAGCTGTGCACGAAGGGTCTGGCCGCGCGATATGCCTGCAGCAGCTCCTCATCTGGGGCCGCCACCAATTGGGGCGGGGCAAGGGTCACCAAGAAGCCCCAGTAAGGTTTGAAAAAGCCAAAGACTTGCAAATCAAGAGATGAGCGATGAACTTATTGTGAATAGAACTGTTCCTTGGATCTACTTGTCGGACCCAACTTTTGCTTTGCTATCCTAGCCATCAAAAACCATCGAAATCATCAAACCCTCAATGTCTGCACCCCAGTCCTCCAGCAGGACCAAGGCGTCATGCGCAGCATCAGGAGGACACGCCCAAACGCAATGGGGTCCTGAAGCCTGTCATATGCAGCTTGGATATGCCTCACTTGAATTTCTAGCCTTCTGATCTTCATCCCAGTACTCTGAAGCTGGTACCCCCCAAAAATCAGCAACCAATCCGGTGGTCTGCGGATTAAAATCAGCAAACCACCTGCGGAACTTTGTCATCTTCACCACCCAAAGCCCCAATGTTGTCGCCTGCGCCACTTGGAACGCCTTCGCAACTGCCGGGGTCGCGGTCTGGTCAGAGCCCACCAAGAGCAGTGGACCTGGAGGAAACGACCAATCCGCAAAAGGACCCGACAGGATGAGATCCAAGGATTGCTTTAATAACATGATTCAAGACATTTCAAAACCTACAAGCACGGGGCTGCAAAGTCAAACCAAACTGAAGCAAAAGAGAGCCAATAAAGAGCCTACCTAGGAATTCCAACCCGCTTTGCACAACTAGGTTGACTGACAACTCCATGATGAGTCTCATCCTTGATGATTTTTCTTCCTACATTTCCTACTCAATGTGATGATAAAACTAAGCTGTTCACCCAATGTCACCACCGCCCCTTCAGCTGAGGGGCGTTGAAGCTCCAAGATCTGAGCCAAGCACAGCGCCAAGGCGTAGCCTTGGGCACCGCGGGGCACCGCCAGAGATACGCCGTGCGCCACGTCTGCAAGGGCCTTGAGACTTTGAAGGTGAACTTCGCTTGCAGAAGTGTCCTGCAAGTTTGTTTTGGTGGGGCAATCAGCAAAACAAACATGGAGATAGTTCATGAAAAACTATGAATTAACCAAACCATGAAAGTTTGGAGTGTCATTGAGTCGTAAACGGCCAACGTCGGATTCGGAAACTTCAGCGTCGGATTCGGAAACTCCCAGGCCCTCGGATTCGGAAACTCCCTCCCCCCGGATTCGGAAACTTTAGCGTCGGATTCGGAAACTTCCAGGCCCTCGGATTCGGAAACTTCGAAGCCCACGGATTCGGAAACTCCCTGGCCCTCGGATTCGGAAACTTCCTGCCCCCCGGATTCGGAAACTTCGAAGCCCACGGATTCGGAAACTTCCAGGCCCTCGGATTCGGAAACTTGCTGCCCCCAGGATGCGGAAACTTCCTGCTTTGCCCTCGGATTCGGAAACTCCGAGCCCCCCCGGATTCGGAAACTTCGAAGCTCACGGATTCGGAAACTTCCAGGCCCTCGGATTCGGAAACTTGCCCCCCCGGATTCGGAAACTTTGAAGCCCACGGATTCCGAAACTTCCAGACCCTCGGATTCGGAAACTTGCTGCCCCCCGCGGTTTCGGAAACTTCGAAGCCCGCGGATTTGGAAACTTCCTGGCCCTTGGATTCGGAAACTCGCTGCCCCCCGGATTCGGAAACTTCAAGGCCCACGGATTCGGAAACTCCCTGGCCCTCGGATTCGGAAACTTCCTGCCCCCCGGATTCGGAAACTTCGAAGCCCACGGATTCGGAAACTTCCAGGCCCTCGGATTCGGAAACTTGCTGCCCCCCGGATTCGGAAACTTTGAAGCCCACGGATTCCGAAACTCCGAGACCCTCGGATTCGGAAACTTGCTGCCCCCCGGATTCGGAAACTTCGAAGCTCGCGGATTTGGAAACTTCCTGGCCCTCGGATTCGGAAACTTGCAGGCCCGCGGATTCGGAAACTTCAATGCAATGGGGAAGGAAGGATGTGCATTGAGGAATACCATTGTATGCAGAGCTTTCGGGGGGGGGAAGTTTAGAAAATGACTTGCAATGGTGACAAGAACTCTATGAAAGGGAAGGATGTGCATTGAGGAATACCATTGTATGCAGAGCTTTTGGGGGGGAAGTTTATAAAAATGACTTGCAACCGTGACAAGAACTCTATGCAAGGGAAGGATGTGCATTGAGGACTACCATTGCATGCAGAGCTTGGGGGGGGGAAGTTTAGAAAATGACTTGCAAAGGTGACAAGAACTCGATGAAAGGGAAGGATGTGTATTGAGGAATACCATTGTATGCAGAGCTTGGGGGGGGAAGTTTAGAAAATGACTTGCAATCGTGACAAGAACTCTGTGAAAGGGAAGGATGCGCATTGAGGAATACCATTGCATGCAGAGCTTTTGGGGGGGAAGTTTAGAAAATGACTTGCAATCGTGACAAGAACTCTGTGAAAGGGAAGGTATGCATTGATGACTACTATTGCATGTAGGGCTTTGGGGGGGGAAGTTTATAAAAAGACTTGCAACCGTGAGAAGAACTCTATGCAAGGGAAGGATGTGCATTGAGGAATACCATTGCATGCAGAGCTTTGGGGGGGGAAGTTTATAAAAATGACTTGCAACCGTGACAAGAACTCTATGCAAGGGAAGGATGTGCATTGAGGACTACCATTGCATGCAGAGCTTTGGGGGGGGAAGTTTAGAAAATGACTTGCAAAGGTGACAAGAACTCGATGAAAGGGAAGGATGTGCATTGAGGAATACCATTGAATGCAGAGCTTGGGGGGGAGGAAGTTTAGAAAATGACTTGCAATGGTGACAAGAACTCTATGCAAGGGAAGGATGCGCATTCAGAAATACCATTGCATGCAGAGCTTTAGGGTGGGAAGTTTAGAAAATGACTTGCAATGGTGACAAGAACTCTATGCAAGGGAAGGATGCGCATTCAGAAATACCATGGCATGCAGAGCTTTTCGGGGGGGAAGTTTAGAAAATGACTTGCAATCTTGACAAGAACTCTATGAAAGGGAAGGATGTGCATTGAGGAATACCATTGTATGCAGAGTTTGGGGGGGGGAAGTTTAGAAAATGACTTGCAAAGGTGACAAGAACTCGATGAAGGGAAGGATGTGCATTGAGGACTACCATTGCATGCAGAGCTTTGGGGGGGGGAAGTTTAGAAAATGACTTGCAATCGTGACAAGAACTCTGTGAAAGGGAAGGATGTGCATTGAGGACTACCATTGCATGCAGAGCTTTGGGGGGGGGAAGTTTAGAAAATGACTTGCAATCGTGACAAGAACTCTGTGAAAGGGAAGGATGTGCATTGAGGAATACCATTGCATGCAGAGCTTTGGGGGGGGAAGTTTAGAAAATGACTTGCAATCGTGACAAGAACTCTGTGAAAGGGAAGGTATGCATTGATGACTACTATTGCATGTAGGGCTTTGGGGGGGAAGTTTAGAAAATGACTTGCAATGGTGACAAGAACTCTATGCAAGGGAAGGATTTGCATTGAGGAATACCATTGCATGCAGGGCTTTGGGGGGGGGGAAGTTTATAAAAAGACTTGCAACCGTGAGAAGAACTCTATGCAAGGGAAGGATGTGCATTGAGGAATACCATCGTATGCAGAGCTTTGGGGGGGGGAAGTTTAGAAAATGACTTGCAATGGTGACAAGAACTCTATGCAAGGGAAGGATGCGCATTCAGAAATACCATTGCATGCAGAGCTTTTCGGGGGGGAAGTTTAGAAAATGACTTGCAATCTTGACAAGAACTCTATGAAAGGGAAGGATGTGCATTGAGGAATACCATTGTATGCAGAGCTTTGGGGGGGGAAGTTTATAAAAATGACTTGCAACCGTGAGAAGAACTCTATGCAAGGGAAGGATGTGCATTGAGGACTACCATTGCATGCAGAGCTTTGGGGGGGGGAAGTTTAGAAAATGACTTGCAATCGTGACAAGAACTCTGTGAAAGGGAAGGATGTGCATTGAGGACTACCATTGCATGCAGAGCTTTGGGGGGGGGAAGTTTAGAAAATGACTTGCAATCGTGACAAGAACTCTGTGAAAGGGAAGGATGTGCATTGAGGAATACCATTGCATGCAGAGCTTTTTGGGGGGGAAGTTTAGAAAATGACTTGCAATCGTGACAAGAACTCTGTGAAAGGGAAGGTATGCATTGATGACTACTATTGCATGTAGGGCTTTGGGGGGGGAAGTTTATAAAAAGACTTGCAACCGTGAGAAGAACTCTATGCAAGGGAAGGATGTGCATTGAGGAATACCATTGCATGCAGAGCTTTGGGGGGGGGAAGTTTAGACAATGACTTGGAATCTTGACAAGAACTCTATGCAAGGGAAGGATGCGGGACAGGGTGGAGTTGCTGAATCGGGACAGGTGGAGTTGCTGAATCGGGACAGGGTGGAGTTGCTGAATCGGGACAGGGTGGAGTTGCTGAATCGGGACAGGGTGGAGTTGCTGAATCGGGACAGGGTGGAGTTGCTGAATCGGGACAGGGTGGAGTTGCTGAATCGGGACAGGGTGGAGTTGCTGAATCGGGACAGGGTGGAGTTGCTGAATCGGGACAGGGTGGAGTTGCTGAATCGGGAGGGGGTGGAGTTGCTGAATCGGGACAGGGTGGAGTTGCTGAATCGGGACAGGGTGGAGTTGCTGAATCGGGACAGGGTGGAGTTGCTGAATCGGGACAGGGTGGAGTTGCTGAATCGGGACAGGGTGGAGTTGCTGAATCGGGACAGGGTGGAGTTGCTGAATCGGGACAGGGTGGAGTTGCTGAATCGGGACAGGGTGGAGTTGCTGAATCGGGACAGGGTGGAGTTGCTGAATCGGGACAGGGTGGAGTTGCTGAATCGGGACAGGGTGGAGTTGCTGAATCGGCACAGGGTGGAGTTGCTGAATCGGAACAGGGTGGAGTTGCTGAACCGGGACAAGGTGGAGTTTCTGAATCGGGACAACCCGGAGTTTCTGAATCCTTGGAGTTTCTGAATCGGAGTTGCTGAATCGGAGTTGCTGAATCGGGTAAAGTTTCTGAATCGTAATTTATTCGTCGTAAACTGGAAAGCTCTCATTTTCATCATGGTATGGGTAACGTTGTTGTTTTAAGAGGCACCGAACATGATAGTTTCTTCTTGCTTTCAAAACAATTCCGGAACAATCTGCGCAACGGTCTAACTCTGGTTTCACTGTTGATGCTACAAAGGAGAGTCTTGCTCGAACCACCTACCTGTTGTCAGCAAGTCCTTAGTATGCAATAACCACATCAAAGTGGACCTAAAACATGAACTTCTACTGATACTTACGTGCATCACAAATGATTGTGTTGCAATCAGGGGACGCTTTAAGAAAAAAAGCTTCAGATACAAACACATCCACTGAGCATCTAGCTCCATGATGGTGTGCACACTCACTCACTAAACTAAATGAAGGACACCTCTCACCAAGTCAGCCTTTCAGATTTTCAAGTGCAATCTCCACAGCATGAGCCTTCAACACTGCAGAAAATAAACATTCAAACAAACTATACTGGGAAATACGGTTGAATAGCCACATAATTTTTTGCAAAACTGGTAGGTTTGGTTTTAGGCTCCTCGACTGCAAGGATGAACTGCTTGTTCGCCAGCCACTGCGCAATCTTTTCGATCTGAGGAAGGGCATGCTTACCTCAACAAACTAGGCAACCTCAAACCCCAAACAATTGAACTGGCAATGACTCCTGTGTGTTTTAGAGTCCAAAATATTCATTGAACCTTGCAAATGCAAAGATAACCATAGGCAGAAGGGCAGGAAAGTGACACCGCTGGGTACCCAAGCAGCTATAAATCAGATCGAATGCGGTGAAGCTTGAAAGCTGAGGCTCAGCAGAAGTAGTTGCCGCCGCTACCCGGTCCCCGCTACCCGGTACCCCAAATTCATCGGAAAAATCAGGCCCATCGCAGGGCTGTGAATTTGAATATCTTCAGATTCTCCGCCTGAAAAACTTTAGGTAATGGACAAAAGGTCATATTGCTCCTAAACAATGCTTTGGCTACGCGACCTTTCTCTTCCAACAGGGACGTCCTGGCCCAAAAAAACGACACCACTGGCAGCCAATTCCTGCACCAAGTCTCTGGGCAATCTGGTCATCTCACATCTGCCACTCTCCCAGGAAATTCGCAGCTGGCCATGACTTTGCAGCTGCACCAGCGCAAAGGCCTGCAAGTGCACCAAGGTTGGAGTCATTGGGTCATTCTGGACAGGGAGCTGAATCTGATCAAGAATTATCATATTTGACAAGCTGATCATAAGTTGATCATAAGTTGATCATTGATCCTAAACCAATCACCAGCCAATCGTAAGAAATCAACAATGCCTCCGATCGCCTGATCCCTGGGATGCATTGGAGAAATCCCGCCTCTGAAGCGCAGGAACCATGGAAACTGAAGACCGGCACCTGAAGGCAATACATCTTTTACATGCTGGGTGTGATTCCAATATGTGCAAAAACTAGCCAAATGACTCCTTCTCAAACTCGGAACCTCCACAAGAAAACACATTGCCGAAATGAAGGACTTTATGTTTGGACTATGTTTGGAACTCCATTTGACGCCTGTTCGAATATCTGTCTTTTGCCACTGTCGGTGCACCCTTTGGACGCCTCCGCAACAGTGGCCAATCGTGAGATCTTCTCAATGATTTTCAGAAATGCCGCGGGCACAACAGCGACCCAGTCGTCCTCGATACGGTCCATGGCAATCCGTTGCCAAACCAACACGAAACAAAAGCGCCTTTTGGGCCAAGCTGAGTGATGTTGCGCTTAATGAGGCAACCCAAATTATAAACCAGCCCCAATTGGCGTTGATCATTGGCTTACGATGGCTTACGGCTTACCACATAGTTTTCCCAAATGAACTGCTGGAAGCCCAACATCTCACAGTCCTGATCCGACACTCGACCTGAATGATCACCATCGACCCGAAGTACTTGAAGAGTCTTGCCGAAGGTACCATTGATGGAGACCTCCAAGTTGCCGCCCGTCAAAAGAAATCGCACCAAGTCCTGCAGACATGGAGGGATTGGCGTGAGCAAATCAAAGCAACTGGCAACAACCTTTAAAGGGGCTTATAAATGCTTATAAGAATAACCATCTCATGTGGGTTCATCATGGTTCATCATAGTGTCTGACTCTCCCAAAAAATCTGCATCCAGCCTTGCTCTTGGTGGTAAAGCTCGCTTCCCGCGCCACCAGTCGCTTGAATTTTGGGCTCAGCATCCATGGGAACCGTCTGGATCCGTCAGGAGCGACAGGCTGCAAACGGTGTGGCCAAACATTGGGACCCTAAAGGGCACCTAGAAATGGCTGGTATGGCTGGTATCCCACCATCTTATCATCCAGTTGTAGGGATCAAAACATGTACCCAAGGAGTTTTTTGCTTTTTCGAAAAAAACCTACATGTGGCAGGTCTTTGATGGATGTTGGTATGTACGAGTACTGAGTTGCGCCCAATCAAGGCACTTACTTCCATCTGTTGCCAAAACAACCGAATCTGTCGGCTGTTTTTGGAAGCCTTGTTGTTTCCTGGCGACGCCATAGCCAAGCAGCAATGAACAGCAATGTTTGCACAACTCCCGGAGAAGCAATTGGTTTGTCACCAGGCTTGCCACTCTGAAAGCACTATCCGATATCCCAGTTCTCTCGGATCACACATACGTTGACATGTATATATCCATGGTTGCTGTTAACTATCTGTTAACTTTATAGGACCCAATTTGGGAAGACGTCCATTGCAACTCTGAAACGCCAGCCCTTTTTTTGGTGGTCGCCGGTGCAGAGCTGCTGTTGCTCTTCTTTTCGACCTGCGCGGCGTCCCCTTTGTAGGGAATGGTCCGCCCATCTTCCCGGGTCAGATGGTGTCTGAAAATGGAAGATGATATGAGATGATATGACATGATATACACTTTTGATCACTTTTGGATTTTTATAGATACCCTATTTTCAGATCTATATTAGTCACATATTCTTCAGGAATTTCGGTCGAAACTCAGACAGTGGCACCGGTGGAATCTCTAAACAACTCAATTTCTCATAGAACACCATCAACGTATTATCTCATACCTACTGGCTAAAAGGCAATGATCGTTCTAGTTCTACCTGTAGAATGGCAATTTGATGCAATTTGGTATTGATAAAAACGAATGGCCTGACTAGTCCTTGAATCCAGCTGGATGGCATCGCAAACTTTTTTTCCGTTGAAGGCGAAGTCCATTGGCTGCGCGATGTAGACAGAGACTCCAGGTGCTTTTTAGAGGTGGGGAATGCCCGAGTCACCGGTTGCAGCACTGGTTTCAAAACGGATGATGTCTCTGGGCAAATGGTGGGGTTGGCCTGAATATTGATTGACGGTTTCACTATTTTTGGGAAACACCTGCAGTTGTCTGGCAGGCATCGGCCTATCGATTCAAATGCCTACGCACTGAAAACTTGCCACAGCAATCGTGACAACTATTTCAGAGTCTAAATTTCACTCTGCACTTCACAACGAATCAGAAGGAGTGTGACCATTCGGCCTGTCTCCAGATTCACTCGTATGCATTGCATTAGAATTTCTACATATTTCATCACAGGGAGCGGCATCGCAGTCTTTCAAATTGAGAGCTGCTTTGAGCTCTTGCGTTGCCTTCTGGGCCTCTGTGAGGAGGGTTGGGAGTTGATCAGAATATTTCGCAACTGCCTCATCATCTTGGTCACATCCACTCCATTCCTGGGCGCCAACCTCGCAGTACTCATTCCATTGGCCATACTCTCCGTACTCTTCCCAGTCCTCCGGTGAAGCTTCGCAGTCCCAATCTTGCCATTGCTCCTCTTCTTGGTGCTGGTACTGGTCGCAGCCGTTCCAAAAATTAGATGCGCCGATTTCACAGGACTCATCCCATTCTTCATAGTCTTCTTCCCATTCCTCCTCAATCTCCTCACCGCAATTGAGCCAAGCACACTCATCACAAACACTGCGCCCGCAAGCGCAGGTGTATTTCAGGACAGAAGCCTTTAACTCTTCACAAATGTTGCATCTCCACATCGGAATGGTGCCCTTTTCGATGGTCATGGTCTGTCCACATTCGCATGTAGGGAGATCATCATCGTCACCGCTCACTGACATGTCTCAAGACAGAAGAATTTGGACTGCAAGCTGCAAAAAACATTCCGTGTTTGCATTCGGGGACTGTGGCGGACCCCGATTTCCATGGTCAGCTCTCATCATGGAAGAAAACCTGCAGGTATCCCGACAAAATGGCGAACAGTATCAATGTTGATAACAATAAAATTACTTCAAGATGTCCTTGCCTTTGAGATCTATATTTTCTTGGAATCTGATCCACCTTGTGTCCTGGATTGGTGTCTTTAATTGCCAGAGGACTGACTGTTTTTGTGAAGCCCCTCAAGAATCTACTGAGATCTAGTGGACCTTTTGATGATGTTGGAACTGATTGAAATGACAGCATCATGATGAGAAGCTCGTCAGCTGATCTCACGCGATCTTCCCAAATCTTCCAGGGCCTTCAATGGCAACGTCCATTCTCGGAAACCTCACCGAACGGGTGATCTTTATGCATCCTATCTGGAGATTCTGCTTTTCTATCTTTTCTTTTCTGTTCCTCATTTTTGACAACCTCTGTTGACATGTCAGCTCTAGAGCTCCAGAGGGTGGACGACTACGCTTTCAACATGGCTCATGCCTTAGACTTCAACGAGTTGTCTGTTTTGCTCATACCATTTTTGTCCTTATGATTTGCTCCGGTTATGAGGTTTCCCCGACTTGAAGCAAGATACATGCAAAATTTGATAGAATGTGAGCTACTACAGTAGACTAGTGGACACGGAAAACATCAAACAAATCATCAACCCCCGAGGCACTACGGCCAGCGGCTCGGAAGCCATTCCCCATGAGCCAGGGCACCAAAGGGCACCAAATCCACCGCCTGCTACGCCCAGCTCCTGTCAGGTCTAGCGTAAACAACCAAAAAAAAAACCTCCAGTGAAGCACTATTTTGCTAGCTGCTAAAGCAAACTGGAATGGCAAGATACTGCTTGCACATTCGCTTCATTTAAGAATACATAACTGGTCTTGACATATCCAATCCGCAGTAAGCAATCTCTCACGGAATGTGCGTTTGTCGAAGAAAAAAATGCATACATTTGTCACGTCAAATACACTTTGGAATTTGGGGGTTCTCCTTTTCCAGAAAAACCCATGCCATGTCATCACTGCACATCACTGCACACATCTTCAGAGTCTAAGAGCTTTAGGGCGCACAAACCTGGTGCCAGGAAGACGCGCACTCGACCGAGTCAACAATTTGCGCCACCTTTGTCTCAGAGATTCAAGGACCAAATTTTGATGCCACTTGCACGTGTGTTGACTGCTTTTGCCAAGATCGGCAAATATCACAAATCGCTTGATTAATTATTAATCAGTTAATGTCGCTTGGCGCTGCTTTTCCTCAGACAGGAAACGGGCTCTGGGTTCTGATGTGTCTATAGTCTAACAAGTCTGACAAGATTCTGCACAAGCAGTCTAACTTGACTAGCGAGCTTTGCTCGGCTTAAAATGGTTTGGAACAAACCAAAAAGGCGGAGCATGCGGAAAAATGCGGCTTGCGCAATCGACTCATTTGACAAGCATCACATCAAATGCACGGGCTATTGGGGCTATTGGGGATCTTGCGGCCCGTAAAACTTCTCCAGCTGTTCCTCCAGCTTCTTCTCCTCTCTTTCAATCACGTCCACAAGCTCACCTGCTGCTTTGGCTGTGGCACATCCTTTCACGAGGGAAGCCACACCGTTCACAACGTCGATGAGCCCGACAGCGATCCCAACCCCACCACCAACGATCCCCAGAGCTTTCGCTGCAGTCTTTGCACCGTCGCAAGCAAGTTTGCCAGCTTTAAAGATAATTTTGCCTGTGATCTTCTCTCCAAGATCAAGAACAGAAGAAGCAAAACTTGCGAACGTTCTGGATCCTTGAACCCATTTGTCAATTGTCCAGCCTCCCTCCTCATCTTCCTCCTCCTCCAACTTTTGCATGGAAGCCTGAAGCTTCTCACGCAAGTCCATGAGTTGCTGCTGCTGTTTCCCATCAATGATCATCTCCGCCACCGCAGCCCCCACGCTTGTGACGGCGGAGGTTGATGCGAACACCGCAAAAGCTATGCCGCAAGGGACGGGCGCAACACAAAGTGCAGTGATGCCAAGGGCCGAAGCAGTGATGCTAAACACACCAGATGCAATGTTGGTCCCTTGAATTGCCGTGTTGTTCACTGTTGCCTGCCGCATCAGTTCACGGAGGTCCTTCTTGATCTCACCCAAAATGTTCAAAGTGCCCTCAATTGCGCGGCATGTCCGCTCCAAGCTCTCGAACGCAGCTGTTTGAGGTGTCTCTCCTCGGGCCACTGCTTCCGCGACTCGCAGAAGCTCGTCCAACTCTTGATCATGCTTGTCTGCGAGGGCCACAAGTTGGTCCACCTCGCGAAAACACGAAACCACAAACTCCACAAAAAGAATCATCAAAAGGATACAAAAAACAATTCTACGTGGTCCTATGGATGCGGCTGGGCCATGGGCCAAGGTTCCGGTTTTGATTGGCAGTTTAAAGCACTTTATTATCTTTATTAAGGCAGTTGCATCCTTGGTTCTGTGCTTTTTTGATTTCCTGGCCTGACAAGGTGGGGTGTTTATCGAGCTTCGAGGGGACCTTCAAATGATTCCTTAGACAATACGGTGCCAAGATGTGCCAATGAAAACCTACAAGTATCAAATTTTAGAAGTAAAATGTTTCAATCATCTTGAATATACATCACCATGGATAGACAGGAGTGCCTATAGTGAGGCCTAGTCATGCTGCGCACTCCTCATCTTTGAACTTCTATGTATACACATATCCAACGAGGCCACCTATATACCAAGAAACCGCCTGTTCTTGTTAATCTTATTATTCAGAGTTAATTACCGGAAATTCCATGTGCATTGGATCATCAAAATTCAACCCACATGATCCAACATGGTGCATCCCCGCCTGTTTCTTAGTAGCTGACTTTGAATACAGCTGATAGATAGCACCGGCGACTTCCAATCCTCCAACAGCAAAGACGATGGAAGAACTGGTGATGCCCAAACGCCTGGCCCGTAAGGAGCAACGGTCGCTCTTTGGCACTTCTCGATAGTTCGAGCGGGTGACATAACCGGCAGCACGTAAATGAACATCTTTCAGGAGACCCAAACGTTTTCCAGCTTCTTTCACCGTTGAGCCGCCCCCAGCAACAGCTTTGTTGGCAGCTCGCGCTCCTTGCATGAGCGCTGAGCCAGCAGCTTTTTCAGGAGTTCTTTCGACACCGGGAAGATCTTGCGGAAGCAAGGCATAGAACTCATCGGTGGCTTTCTTCAGACCTTCTGTTTCATGAACCAACTTCTCCCGGAGACTTGCAAGGCCAGCGCTCAGTTTTTTCTCAGGGCTGCCTCCACAGTGCTTGGAGAGTTCACCTGCAGCATCACCTGCCAAACCTACCGCCGACCCAATGATCTTCAGATTGTGGTGTCCGGTGCTCGCCTTTTTGCAGGCTCCGGCCAAAGAAATGCCTGTGGCTCCCCAATATACCACCTGGGCAGCGCCTTTCACCGCACTCTTGGCCTTCTCTGCCCGCTGAAGCGCATAGAAACGCGGTGCCTCGTTGCGGATCTCCTGGTTGCGCTGCTTGGAAGACTTCACGCCCTCGGTGATCCAAGGTCCAAGGACTAAGGGAAGAAGAGCTGACAAAGTTGATCCCTTTCTGTTTACAGCTGGAAAGGAAAATAATGTATTCACAATGAATACACAAATATCCAATCCAATGACTGCAAGAAATGTCTAACAACTGCACAAGTAAGTTCAAACAAGTTGCTGCTCTGATTGTTGCCAACGCCTTTGCAACAGCAGGGTCCATGGCGCCGTTGAAACGGAACTGCTGGCCCTATTTCAAATCGCCAAGCTCCAATGTTAGCTTCTCTTTCAATTTTGCTGCGACATTGCGAGAAAGTTGGCACATCATTGTGCAACTCAGATGTTGAGATATGTTGAGCATGCCCGATGGTTGGGTTGTTGCTGTGCATGGCCGCTTTGAACAAGAGGCGCAGCGACAAGCTCATTGTCCTTCATTCTTGACTTCATGCGCTGTCAAATCAAAACCAGCCCGTGTCCACAAACAAGTTCCTCACCTAGATCTTGGCCTTTCTAGTCGACAATAATCATAGTCATCATAGCCACTGTTTCTGGCTATCCTTCCATATATACCTATCCCGAGGCACACGCATGTTAATCCGCACAGTGTGCTTGGGCCCCCACCGAGCCACGAACTTGCCACGCTCACCTATCATCACAGTCCCATGCAGGCAGGGCAAAGACAACCCAAGGACAGAACCAATTCGGAACATCTGACATCATTTGTTAGGCTCATGTATGTCATTTAAGCATGGCTCAAGTCTCAAGTGTTTTGAATCAAAGAATTCCCACCAACATGTCATCAACACCATGACCTGTCCACTTGTTAAACAGCTGCCTGGGCACGTCATGTCTCAGCTCGTACACCATGGGATGTTCGCTAGCGCCACTTCCGATCGCGGATATAGAGTATATATAGATAGTTTATGATAGTATATATTATAATTTATAATATATATAGAATGACGTCCCCAATCTTGGATGGGAATCCATGAGACATGCAAATTCTGAGATGATTCGCTAAGCTGCATTGATTCAGTGAAGCGTGAATTTGGTTCAGCGGGTCCGGGTCCAAGCCCTTATTGCCAGTCAAGTAGAGTCTTCGTTGTCAGTGATGCCATTGATAGTGCTAATTTTTGAGTTGCCCCAACACTTTAGCATTTCCACTTACATCACCATCTTCATACCTCTGAGTGCGTTGAACGTCAGCGTGTCTGCTTGATTCGTAAATGCTGACGAAGAACAACAAGGTAATCACGTGTTCAAAGAGCTCAAAACTGTGAAATTGTGCATGCAAAACTTGTCACAGTATCACCTTGACATACGGCAAGCAGTGCATTGTTATAGTGCACAAGCCAACTCTACTTGAACTCATCTTTTCGGACTGATCAACTGAACGAAAACGTCGATAAATGTCTAGCGCCAGTGACACCAATTCCAGGAATGTCAGGCTGCGCCATGGGCCTTGCAAGCCTTGGCCAATACGCAGCTTCACATTCCATCCATTCTTCGCGCTCATGCCTTCGGCATAGGCTTCCTCAGTGCGAAATTTCGTAAAATTTAAAATACCATAAAATACCATGGGTGCCCAGTGGGTCTATGTCATCCTATGTCAACCTCTACACTTTGTGAATTATAATCTCTCTCGCAAGCCTCTCAAGCCATGCAACGTCAACAGGTTCAGGTTAGCACACATGAAGCTGTAGACTTCCGGAAAGAAAAAGGTGTAGAGCAAACTTCCACAAAATATGTCTGGCGGAAAAGCAACTGCCTAGTGATGAAGCCTCTAAGCTGCTGGCGCTTTGGCGATCATCTTGCGCTTCACATCGTTCGTGATGGTCTTTGCCTTGGTACGATTGTTTTCGTCCCGCATCACCACACCATGCGAGCCAAGCCAGGTCTAAGGGTCGTGCACGAGAAGCAAACTTCAACGTCATAAGTGTTTCCTGGACACGTCAGCGGTGGAAGCTGGACAACCTGTCACAAAGCATCAAAATGAGGTTAGCGAACCACGAACAGCCATAAGTCAAAGCATCATTTCAAGCATTTCGCCCACTTACAATCCCATCCACCTGGGAGAACGACATAGACTAGAACGGACTCAAATCCATTATATACATCATTATACATCATTATACAACATTATACATCATTATACATCATTATACATCATTATACATCATTATACATCATTATACATCATTATACATCATTATACTATATCTATATGATCTACATATGATCTATATATGATCTATATATATATATGAAAAAAACACATCCAGGACTTAGCCCTGACTTCCTCAAAGTTGGAGCTGGCAGGTGAGCAGTTCACAAACATCAGCGTCTTGGACGTTCCGCCCAAGGCATCGGACCTGGTCGGACGATGTGGTTTGATCTGGCCATGAAAATATAACTCAAACATAATGGTGAATTCCTGAACAAATGGTTAATAATACTTGTCAATAGTGGTTAATTAGTGGTTAATTAATATGGTATATGATGGTTAATAATGGCTAATTAGTGGTTAATTAGTGGTTAATTAATATGGTATATGATGGTTAATAATGGTTAATTAGTGGTTAATTAATATGGTATATGATGGTTAATAATGGTTAATTAGTGGTTAATTAGTGGTTAATAATGGTTAAATCACTACTGAAAGATTCAAAGAAGTTTGAAAGAACTACCGATGAAGTTGCGAGAGTTGAACTGAGAATCACACATCACCTGCGTCAACTTGTGGTTTTTGTAAGGCACATGTGGATTGCCTGTGCCAAAGCGGGAGCAGTCAGCACGAAATTAGTCACTTCCACAGTGCCATGCAGAAATGCAGAAAGAAATTACACCGGACTCAGAATGTAATGACTTTTCTTCCCTTATGATACCCTAATTATATTCAGAATTATGTATGTGTAGTTTTACCCACAAAAGACCTACGATGTCCTCGGAATTCTGTGCTTCTTTCAGGATCGTCCCTTTCAGCGCCTTTCACCAATGCCTCCATCACCTGATCCAAAGGCCAGAGACAAACAACTCGCGAAGCTAAACACTGTCGATACATGTCGATACATGTTGATACTTAGTACCCACCCTTTTCTCACACACCATGATAGATTCATGGTTCTGCGTCAAGTGGCATCGCCCAAGGCAGTCAAGGACCTAAGACTCACAGAGATCCAAGCTATAGAGTGAACGCCAACTGTTTCTCTGACATCTCTGCCTTTTTGTGTCTGCTGTCCACATCAAAACCATTCAAACATCTCCGGAATCTGCTGGATGAGGCCGCAACTTGTTGATTTCAATGGCTTCCTTTTGTGCTTCCCCAGAGACCTTTGTGGTCGACGGGCATGAGCAACACTCCATGTGGAAGTCACATCAGAAAGCATCAGAATCAATTCCAAATAGAATTATTTTTGTGAAGATCTTTAGAAGCAATTGTTTTCAACAAGGGAATAGGAATTATCTCTAAATTCTCTCTTGGTTGAAAGCATTCATTCATTCCTATTGCCTTCCAGCAAGAAGTTCTCTTAGCAAAGCTCCAGATAGAACCGACAGGTTGTGAGATACACCGGGCGCCGCACATCTGACTTCTTGAGTCGTTCTGATCCGGCCAAGTCGCACAACAGGATCCTGTCAGGATCTTTGGGTATGATGGGTATGTCAATGCGGGGGAAACGATGGGAAACGCCATTCCATATGCTGGCGCATCATCATTTTCCCTATAGTGAAATATATCCAGCTGGAGATTATACCTGATTTTCAGAGACACCTTTTTTTGAGGATTGGAATTCCATGGAATTCTGGAACCCCAGCAAACACATGCAAACAATGGTTTTTTAAAGCGCCAGCAATCACAAAGAACCCAAAGTTGCCCATGCTCCGCAGAATCTGCGGAATGGCAATTTCAGGCTATCTGCAGAAGGTCAACTCCGCCGGGTGTTCTTTCCGCTCAACTTCTGCTCCGTCTCTTTGTTGACGCCCACGACTCGAATAATCAGGATGAGGTGCGATCGAGAACCTGGAGCTCCACATCTGAAAGTCTGGCAATACATTGACACCTTCTTGAACAACATCTGCGAGTGAATCTGATATAATATATATAATAATATAATATATATATATATAATAATATAATATATATATACACACATTATAATATATATATATGATTCATTTATCATTCTCTAATTAGTGTTTTCAATATCTCAAACCAATCCTCACATTTCAGCCACATCTGCATTGGTTTCTGTGGCCCCAACTCTCGCTGTTCATCTTGGTGGCACCTCACAGTTTCGCAACGCTTCCGCCCTTTCCGCATGGCGGCCAGGTCTAGGAGCCGGACAGACGGTGCGCATCTGATTTCCACGCCTCAGGGATACCCATAAAGTCCTCAAGGTCTGCATACTGATGTATAGTAAACATATGTAGAAGAACCACCTTTGATGAGTTTAATGGTTCACTTCTTGTTACATATATAATATCAATAATATCAATGCATATCATATATGGAATAAAGCGGTACCTTGGTTCATATTTCCTCTCTGCACAACTCTAAGCTGCCGACTCGAGAAGATCGGACAAGGCCTTGGCAGGATGCTTGATGGCATTATGGTGAACTAGTTTCACATGTTGGGTCTCCAAATTCCAACGCCTCTGCACATATGGAAAAAAATACAGCTCAATGCACATGGGACTATTGAACTTTCTTGATTGGAAATTTAATCTATGTTTACCAATTGATTTCAATGAACACATCCATCTGAATCCAGCCAATTTCCCCACACTTTTGCAGGATCTTTTCTGCAAATACCCGCCTGCGCAGTCTTGCACTCCTCCTCGTACAAGTGCTCGATTTGCACGGCTCCGTTCTGTGCAGTGCGTCATGGATTCTTGGCCCATAATAGGGCAACGAGGAAGATTATTGGGATTATGATGATTGGATATGATTGGTGTTGATTAACCATGATTAACCACTGGAGTTGTGCATAACTCACTGGTTGGACAAACCGAATGTGGTAAAAACATCCCCAACTCCCCTGGTGTTTATGCCATTGGGCTAACAATCTATCCCAATAACCGACCATGACTGGGGTAATTTTCATCTGAAAATAGAGTTATACGTTGTACACCCAGTAATGAAGTTCAATTGGGATGGTTCATGGTTACCATCCAGTAAAATAACATAGTTATGGAATGGAACATGGTCCATTTATAGATGATTTGCTTGATTGAGAATGGCAATTTCCATAGCTATGTTAGTTTACCAGTAGGTTTTTTACAACAAATCTAACTCCGTAGCCATTTTGGCTCAAGCCACGGGCCCAGGACTTTCCAGTTAGTGTGGCTGAGTCGGCAGATCCCTGGGAGTAGTTTCATCCGGTTAGTTTGCCATGGAGTTTGGTCGTTCTGGTGCTCGAAGCGCCTGGCACCCTATTCCTGATGTTCTCTTGGGCGAAGACCGTGCATGCTTGAGTCTGCCATGCTCCATCGCAATGAAGGTGCTTCACACGTTTGGCAACTGAACTTGTTTGTGCAAATTACTGTGTCCATGCCCGGAGTTGGCGATTGACATCTTTGTGGACGGGCAGCGGTTGAGCAGACTACACCAACGCTATACCATGATGGTACCTCAAGTGTTTGATGGCTGGCTGTGCTTGTGCAAATTACTCTGCCCATGCCCGGGGCTGGCGATTGGCATCTTTGTCGGCTGGCAGCGGTTGAGCAGACTACTTCAACACTGCGCCATGATGGTACTTCAAGTGTTTGGTAGCTGGCCGTGCTTGTGAAAACTGTGTTGTCAATGCCTAGAGCTGGCTTTTCACATGCTTGGTGCTGAGCCGTGGCTGAGAAGACGTTTTTCAACCTGCTTATGTCGGTTCTTCAAATGCTTGGAAGCCAACGCCCTCAGTCTGTTGCCACTGCCTGGCCTTTGAGACAGAATTAGCGGCCTGAGACAAGTGGCTTGAGTCGGCCCTGCAAGCAGTGCTGATCCTTCACACTGCAGGTGCCAATTTCGTGAGGCGCCTGGGTCGCGCAGACTTGTGTTTTTTACCCAGGCAACGAGAGAAGTTTGTGCAGCATCGCTTTTCTCCTTTTTCTTAGTTCATGCTCCAACCCTGTTTTGCTTCAACCAAGTTGGCATCTAGACAAATGAAGTGCTGACTCCTGGTTAGTTAATGGATTGGTGGGCATAGCTGACATATGCTTTGCCTCCCTGTTGGTCTGCAGCCTGCAGAAATACCACGGCCGCGGGTAGGTGCAAACTCACCTACCCCCTGTGATGTGTGTACAAAGCTGTCTGTTGGACCCTTTGTCTGTGTGATCAGCTCTGCTCACGCCGAGCTATCACTCTCGGGGACACGCCCGAATTGTCCGCGCTACAACAAATCTGACTGAACCACTTCCCCATGCGCTCCTTATCCAGGCGGACATTGAGCTTTTGGTCCACAGCAGCGGTCTGGGCCGGCACCGCTCAGCAATGGATTGGTTGAAGGGAAAATCAATACGAAACCATTACCCCCCAAATCAACGGCTTTTATGGTACGTATAGTAATTTGCCAATTCTGCAACCCAACTCAAGTCCAGTTGGGTGTCCAACTCAAATACTGAAATCAGTTTTTGTGAATCATGCAACGTTGAGAAATGAAGAAGGAATCGAAAAAAAACACTGACACGCGTGGATATCGCATCGAAAGGTCCATGATCTAGACCGCTGAGAATAGGGCTTCGGGTCGCTGACTCTTCCGTTTCCTGAAATGTCATCACATTTGGCTCATTTTCAGGGTCGCTTCTGGATCACTATGGATGGGTTGAATTTGGATTTCATTGGATGTCTCAAAATCAGAAAATTTCAATCCAAAAAACGAGCAACATGTGTGATCTACCGGAATAATTAGACTTCAAAACATGCCCACATCACGATTCACTTTGTTGGTCGCATTCTGATTTCTTGCTGGTCTTGGTTTCATGCCATGATCAAGACACTCAAGCTTTGGCCAAGTATCGGAGACGCACCACCGCTGTTCTTCTGCGTCAAGAGATCGACCAACCTAAGGGTCGCCGCTGCTTCCAATCTCAGAGATCCAAATCTTCCCTTCAACCTACTTGAAACTTGAGATGTTCGCAGAATGCTATGCAAAGGTTAAAAGCAACTATCGGACGGTCTGCGTTGATATTGTGTGAAAGTAGAACAAATCAAACACATCCAGTTCATAATCAAACAACACCAAATCTATCCAACTAACCAAACAACGGTAACACCAAATTTCATTCAAACCCTTGCATGAACCCTTGCCCTGTGTTCTCGCAACTTGGCCTTAAGCCAAGCAACTCATTTCTGTAGAGCTCCATCATTGACGCCATGACCTGTCAAGATCTGTCAAGCAGGTCATCCTATTGATGTCAGATTCTCATAGAAATCCAAGATGTCTAGTGGTTCAAACGTGGTTCAAACGTGGTTCAAACGTGCCGGTTTGACTGTGAATTGCACCCGATCCTCATCTTTCTTGATCAACCTGTACCTGTCACATTTTCGGGATCTTTTGGGATCATATACTGGAAATCCAGCTGGGAATCCGGATACAACGAAATCAACAGGCACTTAAAGCTCCAGAATTCGCAAGTGTACTTGCTGGTTTATACGATTTTATACCAGCAAACATCATTAAAAAAAAGTAATAACATGTCTTATAATATGATATACCCATATAACATGTTATAATAACATCATATAACTGGATTCTTATCCCCATGACAGTCACATCTGTTATAGGCAATGACTCCACGAAGTCAGGCAACTTCCAAGGCTCACAGTTCATCGATGGTTCGGGGGGCGGTGCCCTTCATGTCACCAGGGCCACCTGGTTGCGGCGCAACCGTTGAACATGGCAACCATCATGAGATTTATAGAAATTGACCCAAGCAATAAGACTCATTTACATAATTTAGATCGTTCTGTGATGTTTATTGATGTATATTTATGTTCTATGAGTTGAGATTTCAAGAATATTCTTGAATCTTGAATACCTGATTGAATATCTGATAAATATCTGATATCATAATGAATAACAGTCATCATGATATTGACTGTTGGAATCAGCTGAGCTGATGGCCATACATGGTGAAAGTCCTTGGCGATGAACCGACGGCCGTCCCGTCTCCAAAGCCGAACCCCAACGAATTGCCGTGCGCTCTACGAGCGCGCTGAGTGCCCTGCTTTCCGGCACCTGTCTGGCCATAGGCAAACATCGTGACCTCCAGGAAAAATATGATGTGATCATATGTGATCTATGGAAATGGTGAAGTATAGTGTTGCTGCAACTTCCGGTGGAGAGTTGCTTGGTATGTCTTTGGGGCTGTCCACCAAGGCAAAACGACTGTGTTCACTGTGTTCACCGGTCGAGTGAATCCGCCGAGGGCCCCACGTTGTATCCATCCAGTGCAGATTGCACCAGATCACGACAGGTATCAAAGACTTCTGCCTGGATCCAGCAATGGAACACATCCAGCAGGGATTGGAAGATTTTGCCACCCTGTACTGATGAAATGATGGATTTTCTTCATGATCCCTCAATGCAAGGACGTCATCTGTGAGTTGGGATAAACACGAAGAGTTCAGAGGATATTGAGGGAAACCGATACTCTTTCACGTGGAGTCCATATGGATCATAAGGGGTTCATCGGCTCCTTGCCTGCGTGCCGGGTTTGAAAACGGCATCGAAGTTGAACTGCTCCGCGTCGTTGGCGATGGTTCCGACTGAGCATCATCCAGTGCTGAGCTGGCTCGATTGATCTCAACTCCCAGAAGTCGGGATTATATTCCCAGGTTTCAATGGCTTGAATGAACATAGCTGACATAGCACATGTCAGCACCAATTCATCTAAGAAAAATCACCATTTCCGGATTGCTTGCACATATCTTTAATTACACAGCGTGGAATCATCTATGCCACATCCACCCCTGCACCGACATCCACTCAGTTTGGCACCGCTCGGCTTTTGCACGGTCACCGTCATGGTGTCAACTTGCTGGGAGATCTGCAGCAACACACACGGCATCTTCAGATGTTGACCCAGTGGACACGGAATGATTGTGGGATGTTGTCTCATTCTGATCTTTTCTTGAGCTCTGAATATTCACGATTGAACAACTAGAGCTAGTGATGAACAATGTGACGTGACAGGCTTATGTTTCCAGGGAATGCCAAACATGACACACACTTATAGGCGCAAAATCGCGACTCTGAAATGCACCATTTCATAATCAATCTCAATAGTGAAACCGGGTATCCGCAGTTTTCAGGAGCCGCCCCACTATCGCTACCATCATTCTGTTTTTTTCTGATTTGCCCAAATTTGGCAGATTCGATTGCTTCCATGGTTCATGTGTTTTTGCTGCTCAACTGCCCATTTCTAGCGGTTCTACTGAGGGCTTGGCATCTGTGTCCTTCAGATCCTTCTCTCTCCTGTCGGTCGGAAGAGCTCACCCTCTGATAGGCTTCCAACCAAGCTATCTGACCTATCCAAAAATGAAGGTAAATTGGGCACATATAAAAGTAATATAGCTAATTTCCCCTGTTTCTGGTTATCGTTTACCAATGGGCTGGAGCAAAAGATTGAAAATCACCAAACAAATATGTCCAGAACCATCCAAAACCTGTAGCCTCGGTAGCCCTCACCACAATCCTTCAGTAACAAATGTCCCTAATCATCACCGGTTCACCATCACCAAGACCCAACTTTTGCCGCACTTCGAAAGTTCAGCCAGAGGTACCCGCTCAATGGTCGCACTCGGCAGAAGACGCGGATGGATCCCTTCAGATCTTCCACCATGTTGTGAAGCCTCACCGCCCAGGGTTTCAAGCCTAAAATGTATATTTCACTGGTTGAAACTGCCAAAAATGCTTGGAGTTCTTGGGGGGTTCATCCCAAATAACCTTTTGGGACCTTTTGCACAGAAAAATGTCAAAGAATGTCAAAGAAAATCTGATGAAATATTGGCCGCATTTCAGTTGGGTGAAACTCTATTTTTTTCCTCATTTTCCCAAGTCTAGTTGGGTAAACCCCACCATTTTTATGGGAGTTACAACTCACCCACACCTCCTTCGGAAGGCATCCGCTTCGCGGAGGGCCATGGAGGGCACTGAGGATGCCTCCAACGGCATGGCATCTGGTGGATTGCCCCCAGCAGAGCTCAACAGTTCCCCCGCCTTTGCCGCCAGAAGTGCATTACCGAGTTTCTCTTTTGCAGTCTCCACACTTTCTATACCTGCCACGTGCACATGCCTGTTTTTGGGATGTTATCCTGACCAAACCGAATGGCTGGTTGTAGCTGATGATTTTTTCGGACTAAACCATCCCACCAACGGGATGTAGCGAGATCTCACACTGGGTGATTCTGGTATACTAACCTTACTAAACTGATACTAAACCACCAATCCCAAATTTTTTTCCAGCCTTTAGATTGGTGGTTTTAGTAAGTTTCGAGAAGCCAATGACACCTGAGATTCCTCCAATCTGCCCACGAGATCCACAGGTCAGCCGTACTGGTCTTATCGACTTCCTTCACCTCTGCCAGCACCTTGGCCACCTGCCAGCTGCTCCCTGTTGGTCCAATTTGTTTTTTCTGGCACCACCCAAATAGAAAAGTCGAATGAAAAACAGAAATTGGTATATGAGAAACCACTATATATAGTGGTACTTCTTATTTTTCTGATGTTGTTACATCTTTTTGCGATGACTATGGTATGCTCCAATTTTTTGGCATGGAAACCGGCGATGCAACGTATCCAGGTATATCACTCTCCCGTGACATATCATATGTTATGGGATATAGTTACTCTGTTATTCCCAGCAACTATGTGATAATGTTGTGAAATATTTTTGATATCTATGCCATCAACTATAGGGGATATTCTCCCCAGCATCCACTATCCGAACTATCCCATTGTGTGATATGGTATCAACGATCTCCTATGTATGTATATATATATGTATAGAGCGTATTCCCACAGAAAATATGATTGTAATTCAAGTATATAGTGATCCCCCCCAAAAAAAATAACCCACAACTATTTTAGTGGGATTCGGGATTCTACCAATTTCATCCGGTTTTTATTTTTTCGATTCTTTTTGGGGATTGCTGTATTAATCCCCCCATGAAATTCATGGAATATCCTCAGACCCATGGCTCTGACCACTGGCACCTCCGCTTTGCAGGTGGCCCTCTGTTGTTCTTGGGCTAGGATGGTCAGGGCTCGAGCATACCTTGAGGGCTTGACATGGTTTGACTCCTTGTTTCCCCTGAGGGAAGTTGGTTTAGAAATTCAACAATATCTGAGATTTATGTGGATATACTGGTTTAGATTCAGGCCATCTATAAAACGAAGTGGTTTAAACTAACATTATATATGATCGAAGGGAGTGTAGAAGTCAAAATTCCGACAGTATGGACAGCTGGAAAAGCAGAAGTGGGAAGAGTCAGAGAAAAAAAGAGATGAAAAGTTGCACGCCGTTGTGGCACGAAGCGCATTTGCAAGCACAAAAACTAAAAACACCCACGTTCGGAGCACTTTTGGAAGTGGAGATGTCGAAAAAGTGCACACCGTTGTGGCGCGAAGCACATCCCCAAGTCAAAATGCACAAAGCACACACTTCTCGGAGCACTTTTGGAAGTTGAGATGTCGAAAAAGTGCACGCCGTTGTGGCGCGAAGCACATTTCCAAGTCAGAGTGTGCAAAACACATACCCTCAAGTACGAGCAGGGACCCTTTACAAAGATTTTAGACCCCCAAAAAGGTGTCTGACATGATTTTCCCAAGGGGGGTGCCCTGGGGGTCAACGAATTGTTCTTAGACCTTTTGCAGCTTGTTTTGGGAGGGTTCTGGAATCAAATCTTTGGAAACCAAGCTTATGATCCTAGAACCCCTTCATTTTGGAGCCTTTCTGTAGTCAAAAACAAGGGATCAAAAATTGCACCCAAGCAAAGCCCACAATCTCACAGGCTCAATTGTCCGCCTGTTTCCTTTGCTCCCATGCTCATCCCCTCTTCCTATTTCAAACCCCAAATTAATACAGTTATTGGTTTCCAGATTGTCATTTTTGGGAAATTTCAGGTTGGCCAGTTTGATCTTTAATTGATCGCCTTAGAAACAATTTTAAGAAGCAAAATCCCATTTGAGGGGTTCATCTTAATACCAAAAACTGATTGGCTGGGGACTGTTTATTTTCGCGTCCCTGACGATAATTTCATCTTTTGATTGGCACTTAAAGTTTTGATGTACTTATCAGGGGAAAGCATCGAAAGCCAATTCTTGGCAATATTTCATAATATTTCACATAGTTTAAAATATGGTTTAATTCATATGTTTTAAAAAAGCTTTGTCGCAACTACAACGACAACTGCACCTACAACTACACTACTAGTACATTACACTAGTTACACTACACTACGCTTTACTACACTACACTACAACTGCAACCGCAACTGCAACTATAACTACAGCTGCACTACATTACACTACACTACACTACACCTACAACCACAGCCACGACTACAACTACAACTACACCTACAACTACATTACATTACACTACATTAATTACGCTACATTACCCGGCAACTACAGCTACAACTACAACTACTTGACACTACACTACACTAGACTACACTGACACTACACTATGCTACACCACAGTACACAACACCACAGTACGCTACACTACAGTACATTGCACTACGCTAATTAAACCACACCACAACTACAACATACTACAACTACAACTCCACTACACTATAACTACAACTACAACTACAGCTGCACTACACCACACTACATCCAGCAGTTGTGGGTGAGGTGACCACTGCAACCATTGCAACCACTCCAAAAAACACAACTCCAACCACCTTTCGGTCCATCAATGGATTCGCTCTGCCATCCATGCATCACAACAACTCACCTCTCCTATAGTGTCCTATCCTTGAAACTTCCGCCAGCGCCTTGTGCGGTACTACTGGTATAACTGCAGTTGATTGGATTTGTAGAGCAACTATAACCAACAAACATCACTGGGGACAATTAACAACTGGGGGCCCCAGTTTGAACCTTGATGGATCAGTGTCTTGCACTCTGGGCTTTGGACATGCACAACCCATCCATAGCAGTGTCCCCATCTTTAGCCCCCCATCTTTCAAAAGATTATATAGCTGGTTGTGTCTAAAAATAGGGTATGCCATGGTATACCGATATACCCTAAATTATCATAACACTTGGGAAAATCATCCTTAACTACTGGATTTGGTTGTTTTCCCAGAATTTTTATACAACCCCAACTCACTTCCCATCTAAAAAAACAACACCAGGGCCATGTGAGGTCCAAACTCTTCTTCTGGCAGCTGCACCGACTTGGCTTGGTCGATCGCTTCCTGTAGCCTGGGAGGAGATGTGCAGCTGGAACATCCCATCCACTGTGGCTAGGGAAATCTGCCGATGGGTGCCACTGGTCAGCTTGAATCTTCCCATGTTTTTCGAGAATGTCCACTTCATGAACAAAAACCCTGGCCCAATCTGGCGCAGGATCATGTTTGCATTTGATGTTTATTCCCTCCTTCCCAGGTTTGGGTTTTAGGCGTAAACTCTGAGGCTGAGCTCCACACAAGTTGAGGTCTTCCAGGGATGGACCTTCATCACCTGCATTGCTCACCTGCCAGCGTCTAAAATACTTGGAATAGCTGGGAAATAGAATAGATCCCACGCCTAAACCATGAAAAAGTCAAGTTTGGCTTTGAATATCAGGGGGTAAGAAACCATCTAAGTGGAAATGATCATACTTGGTATTCTCTTCGCTGTTGGGCATTGTCATTCTGAGGCCAGATCCCAGCCTTGGCCAATTGGGTTGCCATCTGCTGCCGGGCTTCATGCTTCGGGGCCTGCACAAACATCAAAAAGACGTCTCCACCCAAAGATGTAGGCCATAAAGAAGCAGGGACTTACCTTAATAATCCTTAGGATCCAGGGTCTAAAATGGTCTAAAATTTATCCAGCATAATGGCATAATAAGCAAAATTGATATAGCGAGAGTTCTATGACTCCTCAGCACATTCGATCCAGAAGTCCAACAGCCCCCGATTCCGTGGCAGAAACGGCCTCCACTTTTAAGATCTCCTCAGCCTCTGAAATCACGTTGGCATCCACGCCAGCCTCCCTTGCCTTGCAGGACAGCTGAGTTCGTCGACGAGCAAACTAAACGCGTGGATGAACAAACAATTTAAACATATTTAAACTATATAAAACATGTAACATTCGAAATTCTTGTTCAACAATATGTTCAACACACACATATCATCTACATCGCAACATAAACCTCAATAATTTTCAATCACATCCATCTCAATCCCCCACCTGCTGTAGCGCAAACTTCAAGGCGGCAATATCTCTGGATTCTTGGGCCTTCTTTAGAGCTGCCTGCCGTGGCATCCGCATGGTGCCATTTGCCCAGGATCTTCCTCATTCTTCGGTCTCCAATAGGCATTTCCCAACCCTCAAAAACAGTTGAACGAACAGAACTATAGAAATCCACTGACGTCCACTGGGTTGGTTTATGGTTCAATCTGTTGAATCTATCGGAAACCACAGTGTTCTTAGCCCTAAATCAAAATGACCCATTTTACCCGCCCAATGGCCAACATCATCGCCCACCTCAGCTGCTTCCTTTGATTCGGCACCCCGAAGCAGTTCCTGCCGATGAATCCCAGATCTACATCTTTCGGGATGCCAAACTCAACTGTCAACATCCATCATCCATCTCTATCTCTGTGGCTGTGCCTGAAAATTAGCTACCCATAGCTACCCCCCCAAAAAAAGGATCGATGGTCAATGAAGATCTTCTCCCATAAAAAGCTGGCCATGCTAGGCTGCCTGGGGTAAAAATCCACCGTGGCTGTCCTCGAAGGGCTGCATCTCCTCCTCGGGGAGCTGGCAATTCTTGGCCGCCGCAATGGCGTCGCGCAGGGCACCTGATTGTTGGGAGGTTCCAAGGGATCAAAAGCCTTGGGACGTCAGAACTTTTTTTTTTAGTTGCTGAATTGTTAGATGGGATGATTTACTCATTTCTAATGGGGCAATCCTACGAAATCCCCAATTGTTGGATGCTTTTTTGGGGGGTTCAAGCTGAATTATAAATTGCATTTCGCCACGAATGAAGTACAGTACTTGGATCAGTGGGTTCGGTGGACCTTGAATCTTGACCCCCCGTAGCCCTGTCTCCTCACCAAGGCCCCGACTGGCATCGTTATTTTGGGCTTCTCGCAACTGCTGACGCGCCTTCGCTCTTGGAACTTCTTCTTGGAAGACCTGCAGGGTACTGATGGTCATGCAGATCTGGAAAAACATGTTATTGTTGAACGGTTGAACGGACAATCTGCGAGTGCAGAAAAAAGCAACGCGCACTCATGTTCTGGCGAAAGTATAAAGCACTTGGCAATTTTGGAGTTGCAGCAATTCAGAATGATGCAGCTACCAACCATCATCATTGATGACATCCAAACTGAGCCACCAACCCGTTGCCCAGGCTCCAAGTCCTTCTCTGCCACGCCTGGGCTCTCGATGGCAGGGGTACCAAGGAAAGTAAGGATGCCTGGTGGTTTTTTGATCTAAGCCATCTAAATGGGAGATTATGGCCAAAGTATCCGAACAAACGGACCCTTTTCGGGTTGCATCTGCCATCTGCCATTCTTCATCAAAAGCTGTCCATCAACTGAGTGCTCAGGCCCTTTTCCTTTGCTTTTTGCAATGCCTGCGTGGAATCAAAAGTGCTTTGACCATCACTCTCCAAAGTCGGTGGCACAAATAAACTTCCGGAACCAATAAGGATAAGGAAAATACATGTTTAACTGTGGTTTGACAAATACCTTTTAGCAATTTGATAGATTATTGGATATTACTGGTGTGACCTCCATCCTCTCCAGTCCCTTATCAAAGTGCAAGTGCCGTGCGCCTCCTCTAAGGACGCCAAACCCTGCATGCCAACTGGCTTGCTCTTCTGCTGCTGGATCCTGGCAACTCATGAAATGCCCAGAACGAACAAGATATCACGTGTTAAAGGAATTGGCATCACCCAACTATATTTTAGGGATGAGAGATGCTGAAACATGATGAACCATGATATAACAATTCTGAAACATGAAGAACTGCTGAAGAACCATCACAAAACATCATGAATCTATCAATCCCAGCTAAATGTCCCAGCTCAACAACCCAACAGCGCCAGGGCTGCTCATCGATGGCCGCCAGCAAATGATCCAAGGCCTGGTCTCGCTCCTGTCGTTCGACACCATGCGGTCCATGGCTCAAAATGCTGGGGACATTGGATCATCTGTTAATCAAAAAAAATATATGGAAAATTACAGTACCCAATATGACCCAATTGTAGATTATTGTAGATGATTTCATTCTCAAACAAAACCGCTGCAATTTTCCATCGATTACGAGAAAGATCCAGAAAGTAGAGCATCAGTGCTCAATCGATGCTTGCGGTCAGCGCCTGCAACTCTTCTAGTCTCTTGTTGGCGGCGTTCAAGAGGGCCTCGTCCTTGACCTCAGAGTTGACCATAGTTGACCCAAAGCCACAGCTCGTCTGGTCACATTTTGGGCAGCCGTTGCTTGTCCTTACAGCCAACATTTTGGAGCTTCAAGAAATCCAAGATTTGTGGTATCCAAATTTGATCCACAACTGTACTTCACTGGACCCCATGGGAAGAACAGATAAGAACGGACCGTTTTGTCATAGTTTGCCTGTCACCAAAAGGATCAGAATGGAGACATGAAACGGCCATCTTTAAGGTCATCCCTAGACCACCAGGGGCACCAACGCCAGCTTGACGAGCACCTTCCAAAGCTGCCTGCAGGTCAAGTCTGGTGCTCTGGGTCTCAAAACCCTTTTTTAAATGGAACTTTGCAGAACCTTAGATACCCCTGAACATCTAATATCATCTAATTATGTCCAACATTGTTCAAGCCCTCATCCCATCAATTAACCTCAAACAACACCCAATCTACCAATCATTCACCAGAAAATATATCCGGGGGTGGACAAGCCATGGTTTCTCTTGGAAAAATGATCTACAGCGGTTCACCCAATCATTTGAGACCCCAAAGTCATGATGGTCCTACCCCTGGCCTCTACATCCCGCAGACTGGAGCCGTGCAACAGCTCCTCTAGGCGTTTCTCTGCCGCGCTGCGGCGCTGCTCCTCTTCCGAAAGGCCTGGCGGAAGTGACAGGAACCGACGAGCGGAGTCATCAGGTATGACATTAGCAACCTATTTAACTGCAAAAATGACTCTTTGATAATGCTGAGTCACTATCTTCTCATAAATTTGATTGATTGTGCATGATATCCGTTTGTAAACTGGATTGAAACTGACCAAGGATTAGGCTGCACGATCAGCTAAAAGAGGTTCAATCTTAAGCCCCTTGCCACACTACACTGAGTTGATTGGTGATATCAGTGATATTGTTCGGTTTTCCTCCCAAATCTGGCTGGCTACATGAGTGAGCTTTGTGAGGATAATTTTTCGGTGAACATTCGATGAACTTGCAAAATTCCCAGTCACGGCTGGAAAGTGCAGGTCTCAACCAACGAGTTTTTTCATAACATTTCATAACTCATTGGGCAGTTCACAGAGTACCCAGAATGGCATCTCACAAGACATGTTCTACAGATGCAGCCCCAGAACTGGGTTTCACATACATCCATCACAGCCAGCCTGGCTCCAAGACCTCCAAAGCTACTTGTACTGCCTCTTCCTGGAAATGCATCCATGGAATGCTGAGATTTCGGCTGCAAAATAGGATTGTGAACTATTGAGGCTTTTGGACATGGGAACAAAACATAGCATTAACATTGCAAACAGCACTATGACAAAAGGGAATACGTCACTCCAAGTGACTTCACAGAATGCATCGCTGCCAAGGCACAAGGTCAGCTTGAGCTACGGTCTCAGTCCTGTGACAACAAGCCCTTTGTGGCTCAACCCGAATTCAACAACTGATGGAAATGAAAGGGCAATTAAATAACTAAGTTTAACTATAGGCTAATATCAACTATATAGCATATAACTATATATTATATAATATACTAGTACCATCTAGTACCAATGTGTTGAGTGTCCAAGAACATCACTGTTCTGTCCTGACTCGTCTCTTTCTGTTCTTTTGCACCTCACAATTGCTTTGAAGCAGATCTGTAAACGTCCAAATCAACTTCTGCTCGCACTGGTCATAAGCGACACTATGATGTACAATGATGTACATCCACACTTTCAGGGCAGCTTCTAAGTCCACAACTGAGCTTTCTTCATTTTGAGCTTCCTCCGTCGGCAATACCAGCTGTTGATCCCTTTTGAGTCTCCAAAATCTTCCACACACAGCAATATCTATGGTATTCATTTGGAAAACTCCATAAACCATCTCCAAGATCATCATGCGTGGGTGGGATAATCTACATGGATAAACTGTAAAAACAAGCCCCAAATTATAGCTGCTCGTAGTTGATTCTTGGCATTACTATTGGGTTTCCCGGTTTCGCAAATAATATAACTTTATATAATCCACAGGGTTCCATACACATGTTCATGACTTTGTTATCTCCAGCAGTTGCTCCCACCTCGACAGCACCAGCCTCAGCTTCTTTTCGGATGGCGCAGTGCTGGATACCCAAATCCCGTTTGAGTACACTTCAAGCATGGGTAACTATCAAATACGAGTATCCAACATTATGTTTTTCCACTGCCATAATCATTCTCAGTATTTTCTATTGTCATTGCTACTATTAACTATGTTATAACCGTAGATTTCATCATGATATCTTTGCTTCTACCACTATAGTCTGGGGATATCTTTGGCAAATGTCCTGATACCCCCAGGCTTCCAGGTCTGCTCGCTCACTACCAAGCTCCGCACTGCTATGAGCTTCTCGACGATCTGGCCATATGATTCAGAATTAAGTTGATCATCCAACTTATGGATGTATAAAGCATAAGATCAAACATAAAACATGAATCTTACATAGAACTTGACATGTGTGTTTTTGTGTTTGGCCACTAATTATGGTTGACACATTCACATCAATCAAGCATATGCGAGAGAAATAAATAGGTTCGTCTGGGTACCCTAAGAATCTTTTGGTGAATCATCTGCTGAAAAAGTGAAATGACCATAGCTGGGGGACATACCAAAATATCATCCACTATTGTTGGTTAGTCATATAATGTCATATATATATACACACATATTTATCATATCCGACTATATTCCATAGAAACTGTTGGTTTCCCCATTGCAACCCAGTAAGCTACCGTCGTTTCCAATTATATGTCCATGGACATGATTACAATATATTACACTAATAACCAATAAATGACTAATGTCAAGGAAATTACTAGATTGTGTGATGAATAGTTTATCAATCAATAGTGTATAATCCATCAAACTTTCTAATGTGGTTAAAACAATTTCATAAACCATCCCCAAATCAAAATAACTAGAGTCATCACCATGTTTATAGGTGCTATGTTTACCATTCCCAGTCATGGATGGTTTATGACATTGTTCTAACCACATTACCCTCTGGTGAACTAACATAGCAATGGAAAATCACCATTCTTAATGGGAAAATCCACTATAAATAGCCATTTTCCATTGCTATGTTAGTTCACCAGAGGGTAATTAATAGATCATCCATTCATCTACCAACTTTCTTCTCTCGTGAGCCTCCTGATGATTCAAGTCTTTGGCGTAGGAGAGCGCGCTGTTACCCTGAGAAAAACGGGATGGTGTCCGAGCATGGCTGGGATCCCCACACCATGGCTTTCCCATGAAAAATATGACCAATAGCTGTATGTGTGTTATATATGATATCATATAGTATATAATGTATATAATGTATATATATATATATTTGTATATATATTTGTATATATAAAGTCAATAGCTAATCATGGTAATATCTGACGAAGAACTCTGATTGTAGGATCCCCTGAGGAACATGATCAATATGATCCCTGGAAATCCACGCAAACTGCTGTAACCATCACGACGTGGCTTTGGGTGCCCAGAACGTTGGGGTGTAGTTCCACGAGAGTTGTATGGGCCCCATATCCCAACTTATGGAGGTCAGAATCCCATAGTTGTATCATGTAACAGCTATGAATATGTGATTCTTCCAGTAAAACCTCTATTTATAGAAGTTTTTCCATTCTAATCCCCCATAGTTATACCCATCAAATGTCACCCTAACTGCACAAAAATAAAAACTGAGACCACTGGTGACCTGATAGTCTTCCACACAGGGATTGGCGTGCTTTTCCAAGAGCGCCTTGGACAATCCCAAAACCATACAGCAAACCTTTTGCAACCCCTCAACAAGTATCAAAAGGATAGAAAAGTCACATCCAATCCTAAAAAAGAGTGGTTTTTTTTGAACCTGTTCTGTCTGTGAGTTAAACATAGTTAAACTATTCCAAATCATCGCCATACCCTCGTTGAAACATATTGAAACATATTGAAACATGTCCATATTGCCCTTGTAGCGAAATTTTGCGAAAGTCACTTCCAGAGTCCCTGGGGCATCCACTTGCAAACCTGCCACATTGCCAGTGCCAGCACAGAACATCAGGGCCTTGGTATTGATGGCCTGTTGCATGCTAGCTTTTTGAACACATGGTGGAATCTCAACATATCCTGCAAATAGAAGAATTTTCTGGGTACCCTCTGGTAAACTGTCCCTAACTATGGAAAATCACTGTTTTTCAATGGCAAACTGTTAAATCACCAGATGGTAATCCATGTTCATCCCATGACCAACCATTATTAATGGATATGAACCACCATTAAATCATTGATGGATGTAACAAGTTCCCAGGTGAGTAAAGGTCTGACCCTTCCTCGACTCAGCCTCCTGCCGTGCAGCCGTTGTGATCTCTTGCTTCGCTCATTGCTCCAGCATTCAGCAGGAGGCGCAAGATCTCAGCCTGCCAAGGCTTTCTGAGAACCATTGGACTATGCCTCAAGACCAATGGTAGATATATGGCATACCATCTGTATATGTACATCTATGTATCTATAGTTAATGGGGTCTTATGACTTTATCAACCAACTTGATATATCTATAGTTCATGGCGGTTTAATGGGTGGATAAACCAACTTATAACTGGGGCAGTTTCCGAGCTGCTTTTTGGGTCCTCTCAACCTATGTCGTGGCCTGCGAGTGACGGGCTGCATGATGCAGTGCAGTCTTCTGCGTATCATCCATAGCGTTCACGTACACCTGACACACATTGCACACATCGGCGATACCTAATGGATTTGGTCCCGACAAAACTGAAAGAAACTAGTCATTGATTCTGTTTACACTGCATTTGACTCACTTGTTTCCTCTTCCCGAAAAAAATGAACAGGATGCAGCACCATGCTGCACTTCACCGGTTGGCCTCATCTTTGTTGAGCAAAAACTCAACCTTGGTCGCTTCGTCACACTGCTTCCCGACGGGGGTCATCCCAGTTCGGGACACATCAGCTCATCAGCTCAGCTCATCAGCTCATCCAGATCCATTCCCAATCGATTCCCATCTTGATTCTTAGCTAATCCTATACACTTTATGATTTATGATTCTCCCCCAATCTTTACATATCTTTACTGGATAGCCCATCTGATATTTAACAACGATCCGCCAAATCTTCCCCATATTCATTATCCCCGAATCTTTCTTGGCCATGTATATTTGCAGAGAGAATACTTTAATTCCTTGATGTTCCCCAATCTTTACTGGTCGGCTATATTCTGTCTCTACATGTATCTACCACTACCCCAACATTCACTGGACATCCTCAAGCAGATTCGCTGAATATTCACTGGATACCAGTGAATATACCGTTAAAAAAAAAACATGTTTCCCATTATTTACTGGTAATTACATGGTTATATACCCCAATATTCACTAGATATCAAGTTTTAATAATATACCACCGGTGAATATCTCCAGTAAATATCCAGTGAAATCACTGAATATACCCCATTGTTATACCAGTCAGTATAGCCCTATATTCACTGGTAGTTCATATATCCAATGACTTATATATGGCAAATATGCCATTATAATCCATTATATACCATCATCAAAATTGGTAAACATTCACTGGATAATGTTGGTTACTGATTAGTGTGGGGATACACTATTGTGTCCACAGACCTCAAAATTATTCTGTTACTCTGGAAATGTTCGAGGGGTACACTATTGTGTCCACAGGATTTTGGTGTAAGTTTTTTTTCATTTTTTTAGTTTTTAATTGTTTTTTATTTTATTTTAAAATTTTAAAATATTTTTTATTTTTATTTTTAATTATAATAATTTTTAATTTAATTATTTTTTATTTTTATTTTTAATTATAATAATTTTTAATTTAATTATTTTTTATTTTTATTTTTAATTATAATAATTTTTAATTTAATTATTTTTATTTTTATTTTTAATTATAATACTTTTTAATTTAATTATTTTTATTTTTAATTATATATTTTTATTATTTTGTAAAATTGTGTCAGGATACACAATTGTGTCATTGTGTCAGGATACACAATTGTGTCTTGGTCTTTTTTTGTTGTTCAAACATTTTTCATTTTTTTCATTTTTTAAAGTTTTTTCCTTTTACTTTTTATTTTCCATCATTGAAATTTTCCAGATGCCTTCCACAGAAAATTACATCCAGGTACAAAATAGTGTGGTTTGTTTGGAGGGTACACTATTGTGTCCAGCTGCTTTCCTGAGGTCATGATTTTTTTGATTTTTTCAATCATTTCCTTTACCTTTTCCTTTGCTAGCTAAAGTGTTTTCCTTTCAATTAATTTCTTTCTTAGTTTCTTTCATTTGAAATTCTCAGAATGACCAGTTTCCCAAAATATATGATGCCTTATTAAAACCCAATTAAAAAACATGACTCAAACAATTTTTCAAGGGGGTAGTCCATGAGCAACCCTGATACAGAATAGTGTGGTTTGTTTGGGGGGTACACTATTGTGTCCAGCTGCTTTCCTGAGGTCATGATTTTTTTGATTTTTTCAATCATTTCCTTTACCTTTTCCTTTGCTAGCTAAAGTGTTTTCCTTTCAATTAATTTCTTTCTTAGTGTCTTTCATTTGAAATTCTCAGAAATGACCAGTTTCCCAAAATATATGATGCCTTATTAAAACCCAATTAAAAAACATGACTCAAACAATTTTTCAAGGGAGTAGTCCATGAGCAACCCTGATACAGAATAATGTGGTTTGTTTGGAGGGTACACTATTGTGTCCAGCTGCTTTCCTGGGGTTATGTTTTTTTTTAATTTTTTAAATCATTTCCTTTACCTTTTCCTTTGCTAGCTAAAGTGTTTTCCTTTCAATTAATTTCTTTCTTAGTTTCTTTCATTTGAAATTCTCAGAAATGACCAGTTTCCCAAAATATATGATGCCTTATTAAAACCCAATTAAAAAACATCACTCAAACAATTTTTCAAGATGGTAGTCCATGAGCAACCCTGATACAGAATAGTGTGGTTTGTTTGGAGGGTACACTATTGTGTCCAGCTGCTTCCTGAGGTCATGATTTTTTTGTTTTTTTCAATCATTTCCTTTACCTTTTCCTTTGCTAGCTAAAGTGTTTTCCTTTCAATTAATTTCTTTCTTAGTTTCTTTCATTTGAAATTCTCAGAAATGCCCAGTTTCCCAAAATATATGATGCCTTATTAAAACCCAATTAAAAAAACATCACTCAAACAATTTTTCAAGGGGGTAGTCCATGAGCAACCCTGATACACAATAGTGTGGTTTGTTTGGGGGTACACTATTGTGTCCAGCTGCTTCCTGAGGTTATGTTTTTTTGATTTTTTCAATCATTTCCTTTACCTTTTCTTTTGCTAGCTAAAGTGTTTTCCTTTCAATTAATTCCTTTCTTAGTTTCTTTCATTTGAAATTCCCAGAATGACCAGTTTCCCAAAATATATGATGCCTTATTAAAACCCAATTAAAAAACATCACTCAAACAATTTTTCAAGGGGGTAGTCCATGAGCAACCCTGATACACAATAGTGTGGTTTGTTTGGGGGTACACTATTGTGTCCAGCTGCTTCCTGGGGTTATGTTTTTTTGATTTTTTCAATCATTTCCTTTACCTTTTCTTTTGCTAGCTAAAGTGTTTTCCTTTCAATTAATTTCTTTCTTAGTTTCTTTCATTTGAAATTCTCAGAAATGACCAATTTCCCAAAATATATGATGCCTTATTAAAACTCAATCAAAAAACATCACTCAAACAATTTTTCAAGGGGGTAGTCCATGAGCAACCCTGATACACAATAGTGTGGTTTGTTTGGAGGGTACACTATTGTGTCCAGCTGCTTCCTGAGGTTATGTGTTTTTTCAACCATTTCCTTTTCCTTTTCCTTTGCTAAAGGTTTTTTTCTTTTATGGTATTTCTATGGAATTCCTATGAGGTCTCCATGATGTTTCTATGATATTTCTGGAGGATTTCTATGGTATTTCTGAAGGGGTGCTATGGGAGTTCTATGGTATTCTTATGGGATTTCCATTGGATTCCTATGGGATTTTTATGGTATTTCTATGATCTTTCCTATGGAATTTCTATTGGATTCCTGTGGGTTTTCCAAGGTATTTCCATGATGTTTCTATGATCTTTCTATGGGATTTCTGTGAGATTCCTATGGGATTTCCATGTTATTTCTATGATCTTTCTGTGAGATTCCTATGGGATTTCCATGTTATTTCAGTTATTTCTATGATTTTTCTATGGGATTTCTGTGAGATTCCTATGGGATTTCCATGTTATTTCTATGATCTTTCTATGGGATTTCTGTGAGATTCCTATGGGATTTCCATGTTATTTCTATGATCTTTCTGTGAGATTCCTATGGGATTTCCATGTTATTTCAGTAATTTCTATGATCTTTCTATGGGATTTCTGTGAGATTCCTATGGGATTTCCATGTTATGTCTATGGTCTTTCTATGGGATTTCTGTGAGATTCCTATGGGATTTCCATGTTATTTCTATGATCTTTCTATGGGATTTCTGTGAGATTCCTATGGGATTTCCATGTTATTTCTATGATCTTTCTATGGAATTTCTGTGAGATTCTTATGGGATTTCCATGTTATTTCTATGATCTTTCTATGGGATTTCTGTGAGATTCCCATGGGATTTCCATGTTATTTCTATGATCTTTCTATGGGATTTCTGTGAGATTCCTATGGGATTTCCATGTTATTTCTATGATCCTTCTATGGGATTTCTGTGAGATTCCTATGGGATTTCCATGTTATTTCTATGATCTTTCTATGGGATTTCTGTGAGATTCTTATGGGATTTCCATGTTATTTCTATGATCTTTCTATGGGATTTCTGTGAGATTCCTATGGGATTTCCATGTTATTTCTATGATCTTTCCATGGGATTTCTGTGAGATTCTTATGGGATTTCCATGTTATTTCTATGATCTTTCTATGGGATTTCTGTGAGATTCCTATGGGATTTCCATGTTATTTCTATGATCTTTCTATGGGATTTCTGTGAGATTTCTATGGGATTTCCATGTTATTTCTATGATCTTTCTATGGGATTTCTGTGAGATTCCTATGGGATTTCCATGTTATTTCTATGAGAGATTCCTATGGGATTTCCATGTTATTTCTATGATCTTTCTATGGGAGTTCTGTGAGATTCTTATGGGATTTCCATTTTATTTCTATGATCTTTCTATGGGATTTCTGTGAGATTCCTATGGGATTTCCATGCTATTTCTATGATCTTTCCATGGGATTTCTGTGAGATTCTTATGGGATTTCCATGTTATTTCTATGATCTTTCTATGGGATTTCTGTGGTGAGATTCTTATGGGATTTCCATGTTATTTCTATGATCTTTCTATGGGATTTCTGTGAGATTCCTATGGGATTTCCATGTTATTTCTATGATCTTTCTATGGGATTTCTGTGAGGTTCTTATGGGATTTCCATGTTATTTCTATGATCTTTCTATGGGGTTTCTGTGAGATTCCTATGGGATTTCTATGATCTTTCCTATGTTTCTATTTCTATATTTCCATGTTCTTTCTATGATCTTTCTATGGGATTTCTGTGAGATTCCTATGGGATTTCCATGTTGTTTCTATGATCTTTCTATGGGGTTTCTGTGAGATTCCTATGGGATTTCCATGTTATTTCTATGATCTTTTGGGATTTCCATTCCCTTTACATGTTCCTTTGCTAAAGATTTTTTTATTTTCTCAATTAATTTCTTTTATTTAGAATTCTCAGAAATGCTCAATTTCCCAAAATATATGATGCCTTATTAAAACCCAATTTAAAAACATCACTCAAACAATTTTTCAAGGGGGTAGTCCATGAGCAACCCTGATACAGAATAGCGTGGTTTGTTTGAGGGTACACTATTGTGTCCAGCTGCTTCCTGAGGTTATGTTTTTTTTCAACCTTTTCCTTTTCCTTTTCCTTTGCTAAAGTTTGTTTCCTTTTACTTAGCTTCATTTTTCTTGGAATCAAAACCAAAGGCTTTCCAAAGGATTAGTTTCAGCCAACCAAAAAAAACATGAATGATCATGATACACAATAGTATGGTTTGTTTGGGGGTACACTATTGTGTCCAGCTGCTTCCTGAGGTGATTGTTTTTTTCTTTTACTTGAAAGTAAATTGAAATCAATTGCAAGTAAATTGAAATCAATTGAAAGTAACTTGAAATGAATATGATCATGATACACAATAGTATGGTTTGTTTGAGGGTACACTATTGTGCCCAGCTGCTTCCTGAGGTGATTTTGTTTTTTTTTTACATTCCCTTTACATTTTCCTTTGCTAAAGTTTGTTTCTTTTATTTTCTCAATTAGTTTCTTTTATTTAGAATTCTCAGAAATGCTGAATTTTCCAAAATATATGATGCCTTATTAAAACCCAATTAAAAAACATCACTCAAACAATTTTTCAAGGGGGTAGTCCATGAGCAACCCTGGTACACAATAGTATGGTTTGTTTGGGGGTACACTATTGTGTCCAGCTGCTTCCTGAGGTGATTGTTTTTTTTCTTTTACTTGAAAGTAAATTGAAATCAATTGAAAGTAAATTGAAATCAATTGAAAGTAAATTGAAATCAATTGAAAGTAAATTGAAATCAATTGAAAGTAAATTGAAATCAATTCAAAATAAATTCAAATCAATTCAAAATAAATTCAAATCAATTGAAAGTAAATTGAAATCAATTCAAAATAAATTCAAATCAATTGAAAGTAAATTGAAATCAATTGAAAGTAAATTCAAATCAATTGAAAGTAAATTGAAATCAATTCAAAATAAATTGAAATCAATTCAAAATAAATTGAAATCAATTTAAATCTATCAATTTTTTTTGATTTTACCGTATTCTGTACCCGGTAATTTGTTTTTTCCACACTATTCTGTTACCCAAATTTGTTTGGGGGGGGGGGCCTCCCCACACTAATCAGTAACCTACATTATTCATGATGTATACTGGATTCATTGATACTGGGCTATATTCACTGGTTATACTGGGCTATCTTGGGCTAAATTAACTGGCCATACCCCATTGATTCATTGGATATCCATCCCCCGCTTTCCCCAGCTGCTAAGTCTCCCTGCAATGGAGACCGAGCCAAACGCCGCGGCGTAGATCAAGGGCGTGCGGCCGCGCACGTCGCAGCAGTCCAGCGGGCTGTCACGACGCCTTGGCGTTGAGATGAAACTGCTATTACTGATGATACCCTCTGGTAAACTAACATAGCTATGGAAAATCATGTTTTTTTTAACGGGGTAAATCAACTATAAATGGCAATTTTCAATAGCTATATCTTAAATTTATCTTAAATTACCAGAGGGTAAATTATTGATGAATTATGGATAACTATATGGGGTGTAATACTATTATAATTCTCTGTTGGGATGAACTATTATTAAGTATTCATTGTTGAGTTTAGGGTATAATTTTGGGATGCTCCCACAACTATTCATCATAATAGTAGAATGATGGTATAACTATACTATTCATGATTTCCCAATCTAATCTTAGGTACCACAGTTAAATCATGTTGAAATCCATGATATCATCCAATCATTTGTTGCTACAGTATTAATTATTGAAGGACTTGTCACTTCCTAGGGAATAACCACTGACACTCCGATTCGTTCATGGATCATCGCAGCGCAAAGCACCTGGAAGGAGACATGGGCGAATCGTCACCTGTCGCCATATCCAGGGTCACTGCAGGGATGTCAAATGCCAGTAAAACAAGAAACAGCCCATTCCAATTTATGGCCATATCGAATGGACAAAATATGGACAAGTATAAAAACAAATATTAGAAACATGACCATAACTGAGACAAAAATACGAGGAATGGCCATAATATGGCCATAAATTTTAATTATTCTAATTATGATCATGTTTCTAATATATACCCCTTTCTAATATATACCCCCATCCTCCAAAATATGGCCATCATTCTTTCAATCCATTGGAGTTTGGAGTAGCCGCACTGCACGGGTGCGGAATTCTCCGGTCGCCTTCGCGAGCCACAGCCTGGTGAGGATTGTCCACAATCACCATCCCACTTCGATAAATGAATGGTCCAACAGTAATGATAAACATATACAAAAAAAATACACAAAATTCAAAAATCATCATCCTTCAATGGTAGGATTATGATTGGGTGAATCCCACAATCACATACAATCACTGTCCTTTCCAGGCCCTTCATCTTTCCCTTCTAGGCCTCTGCAATCTCCTTGAACTTTTCAAAGTCCCCAGACCTGCCATGAATCCATGGAGTGTGAGATCAGCATCCTGACCCCAAGGCCCAAGGAGCCAAACCAAATCTTCAAAACAGAAACATCAATCATCATAACACTATTCATTAAAAAAAAACAAAAACACAAATACATGATCAAGTCTCCCAACGCACCAAACATCTTCAACGTTTAGATAACCCGTATGTTGTTCGTTGAGTCATCCGGTTGATCTGGTCATCCCGCCTAGCGGAATTCAGCAAACCCATTGCCTGGCCAGAGCTGAAGGAGTTTCGGTGACTGGGCTGCGATCAAGCTTGCCCATTCAAAACAATTTCATATCACTCCTCCAAGAAGAATTGGCAAACATATACCTTTTTTCGGTATGTAGAAACACTTTCGAGGTATAACCAACTATAAAAAAATTCACCAATCATCAGTCATATTGCCACAATCACCTCAGTTCAAACCACTTCGCGATTGTGGTGGAGCCACACAGCATGGCCGCTGACATTTGCTGGTTGTGTGCCTCTAAAATCATCGATATAGGGAAAATCCACACCTTCATACATCAAATAGTTGTCAAGTGACCCACGGATGCCAGGAAATCAGCCAGGTGCACCAAATTGGCTTGTTTCTTTTGCAAGGAAATGGCTCCATCGTCCACGATCTCTTTGATCTAAGTGGCCGAAAAAATATGGCAACGACGGGTCAGGGGGTTCATTCTGCCAGAGAACCGGTCCTTCCAATGCCTCCTACACAATGTCAGAACTGTTCCAGAGTCATCCTCTGGTAATAAGCGGAATCCAAGGTGAAAAGTTGGGAAGTCACCATCTTTAACAAACAACATCCATAAATTGGATTCAATGGATGGATTTCTGTTAGCCAAGCAGTTTCGATTCGACCATTTTGAGGTCCAGGCCAGAGGCCTCCTGGAGGAAGTGGCTGAAGTCCTGGGAATGAGGACAACAAGCAGCTTTGTTGGGTGATGCGTTATCTATACCATATGATAAATAACCAAGACTGAGACATTGTTATATAAATATATAATATAATATATTTATATGATATCATATGAACCTGGGTCCTATGTTGACTTCTTTTTTGTTTGGGTGGTGTGTTGTTTCTTGCATCTGCATGTATTTACCCCAAACTGGGACATTTGGGCTTGTCTGGAAATGGAATATATACGGTATACCCCTAAATGGCCAATTAATACCTTTTTTCGCGACAAACCCATTCAATGAATTGCCAACCACTGAAATGTTGGACCAGAATAAACATAATAAACCAGCTATTTACCAGCTATTTCCAAGAATTTAAGCACCGCATCGGCAAATGGCTTGCAGCTCCTCACTAGCACGTTGCCTTTGGAGTCCGATAAGCTCGCCTCAGGCTGTCACATCAGCTGCATGCCGAAGCATCTCCAAACAGCTCAGGGTCCAACCCATCCTTCCATCTTGCCCTCTTTGGGCCTCAGACATCTCAGGGGCAGGAACTCTCTGAAAGTCTGATATTTTGTTCAGATACAAATAATAGTAGGGCCCACTAAAACTCGATCATTCATTTTCTATACTCCCAAAAACATCGTAAGCAGTTACTCAGTTGGGTCAGAAACCTTGGACGCAAATCCCTTTGACTATAATACTCCTCTTCCGCTCACTCGTGATCCACAGATCTGACCCATTTCTTGGGTGAAGCAACGGTGCTGACTCCAAGGTAGCAATCTTCGCACGCCTGCGGAAGTTTGCAAACACAAGTGGGGGTTGTGCACATGGGGCCCCCAATCTTTTGGCAATCTTAATGGGGAACCTGATGATCAACCATGAGATTTTACGGGAGGCTATAGTCTTCAAATAAATGTAGTTCTTTTTTCTCTGTGTTTCCCATGCTACAGGCGAAACTTCTGCACCAGCCAGACCCCTGCCTCAGAGCTCCTTGCGCCCTCAGCTGCAATGGATTCATCGAACGATTCTCACCGACATCAAATCTGCTCCGGAGACAGATCCAAAGCCCTTAAAAACCCCCAAAATAACAATCGTATGGCCATGATATGCCCATGGTTCCCAAATGGCTTTTGTGTTCATTTCCACCTTTTTCACATCACAAACCAAACAAAAACATATCTGAGACTTTCGCTCTCCGACCAGCTCCAGGACCTGGATCCTGGCGAGAATTTGGACCATGCCAACGTTACCAAGACACCTTGAAATACCACGTGTTTATCTGGTTGGTGGTATACCTACCCCTCTGAAAAATATGAAAGTCAGTTGGGATCATTATTCCCAATATATGGAAAAATAAAAAATGTTCCAAACCACCAACCAGTTATAGAATTTTTTGTGGGTTAAGATCATCAGTTCCCAGTGATTTCCCTTGCCCAAAGACCTTGAAAGCCAGGCCTGGTATGCGCCGGCAGCTGCCCAACACATTCACCTCAGATCGGAATCCGAGCTCGTCCCAGGTCCTGCCGTGTTTTCGGAAATCTGGTGGTTTTGATGTTGGAATCACTGGCAAACACGGCACCTTTCACTCTTAGTGTTGATATACTATACGTATATATGTGTATATTCTATAAACTATTTAATGCTATGTATTAATAGGTATATTAATATATATTATATATTATAGAGATCTATATATATAATATATATAATATATATATATATGTGCTATTATTATATATCCCCATGAAAATCACAACCCCAACCCCATCCCAAGGCTCCCGGGCTACTCAACGCCTCCCCGGTGCGCAGGGTCATGAGGCGAAGCGTCTCCAACTGCGAGCCTTTCATCACCTCGTCCAAGCGAGTGGAACGGGTCACCTGGCGCAGGATTTATGGGTGGAAATCATCGGGATGTCATGGGGATTTATTGGGAAGAGATAGGAAATCCCAAGATATAAATCCCATATAAATCCCATATAAATCTTAGGATTATCTTGGGATAATGATGATAATCCCATATACCCTCTGGTTGTGACTAACAGTTCGCCATGGTATAGATGGCCCTAATCGAAATAGATGGTTTACCGAACTTAAACATGGGTGGATATTCCATGGCTATGTTAGTCATAACCAGAGGGTAGTTCTGGTTAATCATAGGAATCCAAAAGGGATGGCCAACAATATATGATAGAGGGATGTGGCTGACAATCAGGTATATAAGTGGGTATACGGTATGGCAATTTCAATAGGGAAACATGGGAAAATAATGGTTGACCATATTTGAATAGTTCAATCATGCGGTTTTGACGACACAAAAACATCTGCATGTTTGAATGGAACTGCTAAGAACATGGGGTTTTAGCCTCATTTTCTTGACATTTGCTGGCAAACCTGAATCTCAATAGATAAAGATATCATTCATCCAACCCCGAATAACCCCGAGTAGCAGTTTCCCAACTGCTCTGCCACACAGAAAGCTGCCACTTCACATCCAAAACTTTGACCAAACCAGCCTTGTTGGCTTGCATTCCAACCAATGCTTGGCCAACGGTGTTGCGAACCGTGATCCAACCTGGTGCAATGGAGCTTAGCGCATAAAAATCCATAAAACCACCCAGCAGTATGACTGACCAGTGACAAAGTGTTCAGCTTGGTAGATCGGTTGTTGAACCTTCTATTTTAGCTTCTCTTATTGTTCTTCATGGCCGAAAAGAGTCTCGGAAACTGCCACAAATGATCGCAAATGCCAAGAAAACCATGAACCCTTATCTTCCCTTCATGGATAATATATATATATATATCTTTATATATATGTAATTATGTACATATTTATAGTTGTCACGACCAAGGCCGGAAAGCACCATTTCACCACCCGCAAAGCAAAACCCAAGCAGCCGCGCCTTGCATCGAAGTGGATTTCACTTCGGCTCGCAGCAGTTCTCCTGGTTTGGCATCTGAGAGCTGGAGCACCTGCCAGGAGATTTTGACCGATAGGGATTGGGGCTATGGTGGTAAACCATGGTAAACCCAATGAGAATCTGATAACGACAATACATATATATATATATTAATTAATTAATTAATTAAAATAATGATAAGATATAATGACGATAGTACACATACTAGTGAAAACAATGATAACAAAATATATAACAAACTCAATGATACGAAAAATCTAGTAGTATAGTAGTAATTAACAATTAATAATCTATATAATAGTGTCAACATATGTATTAACAATATAACAATAGCTCCCTTGGATGGTTTAAGTCATGATGTTTCCCTTGGTGACATCCAGCCTGGAGATGGCTCCCTGCACTGAAGTGGCCCAGGATTTTGCTGGACAAACAATCTTCTTCTCTAACCGTCACCTCAGGTGTCAGGTAACCTGGGTGACCTGTGTGACCTGAGACGATTTCGGCGCAGAAATTCATGGATATGGCACTGTCCCAAAAACTTGCCCAAGAAAATAAACCAACATCCAACAAATTCGACATCATTTCCAAGAAATTCCACCAGAATCCACCATTTGGTGTTGAGATATCCAGGTGATATCCAGGTGATATCCAGGTGATATCCCAACAAAATCACAGCAAGTTTTCTCCAAGCCCCCGAGCCATGGCCAAGGTCACACAAGAGGAGCCCTGTGGAGGTTAGCTCCACTTGGTGCCACTGTGCCATGATCATGCTTGGACAGATACTGATGGATATTGACAATAGCTATCCAAGGTCATGATAGATTAATATATTATGATATTATATATATATCCACCAGTATCTATATGATATTAATATATTAATTAATATCTAATAATATAATGGATATATCTATATGAAACATGATATTAAGCTAACCATCCAGGATCAATCCATATGATATGAGTGAATTAAATGGTCATCATTACATGGAATACAATGATATGTCATCGTCAAATGCCAAAAGAGCAGATGGATTTATGATACTCCCCAATATAATATACATATTACATCATAGTACATATCTACATATACAGTATGTAATATGTATGACAAACACAATATATAATATTGAGAATAACAATGACCCCCGAACTCATCAGCCAACAAGACATGTTCACGCAACGCTTCCAGCACCTGCGTCAGAAGCTTTTCCAGTTCCATGGTGCCTCTTGAGGCGTCGTTGCCGTCGATTCATCAGGAAACTTGCTGGTCTTTCCCATATTAATTCCCATAAAGATAACTCTGGATATTGGATGAATTCGGACCTCTCTGTTCTCCATAATTTTCATGAATTTTCCATGTTTGATCCATATCGACCACTTTCCTGGCACCCACCTGGACTCTCCACTGGAGCCATTGCTGTGATGTTGACGTCTTGCTGTGATGTGAAGAGATGTCGATGTCCAGTGGTGTAAACCAACAAATGCCATGGCAGCATCCTTTCAAGTGAACAAATTGTTGTGGATGCTGCCACGGAATTTGATCAGGTAAGAAAAAAGTAATCATAGCCTGGCTGAAGGGATGCCAAATTGGCTTTCGTATGTTCTGACATGGCCAACCTAACAGCTGCAACGAATCAGAAGGGTTGATCCATTCTTCAACAAAGCACATCTTTGCAGCAAAACTTACTAATAGATGATATAACATGATTGAATATCTAAATATCTAAATATATATATATACATTGTCTCAAATACGCGAAATGGACCAACAAGCTTTCACGTGCTTGCCCATGATTCACCCGTTTTTTCAGCACAGCATCCACCGTCGTCCTAGAGCTTCCAAGTTGGCATCAACATCTGCAGGTTGTGGAAGTGGCTACTACTTTGATGTAGTCAGGCCACCATCCTTGAAACTTTCCGGTGAAGCACGGCATGTGTTGGTTTTGGATCTACTCGATCCACTCCACCCAGTCAAGCCCCGAAGAACTTTCGGCGCGTGTACTCGTTCAGGCTCACATTTGGCTCAAGATTGAAGGTGAAGATAGCGTTCACCCGACAAACTTCGGTGGTGTTCTGGGAAACACAATGCAAACTCCGTTTTCCGGCAAACAGATACAGGGTCCCAGGTTTCAAGTCCGGAACGATCATTGGCTTCAAGCCCGCCGCATCTGACGGTCCATCCAAGATGGATAGATCGAAGTCGGGATGTGCATCCAGAAATGTCCGTGAGTCGGGAATGTACATGAAGGCACCTGGCTTTGAATTTCCGTCACGCTTGCATTCTCTCAGGATCAAATTCACTCAGTACCTGGGGGCTGCAGTGGGAAAAAACATCAATAAATTTCTAGATTCCTGAGCTCTCTTGGCAAAAATACTTTCTAAAAGTTGATTATATCAAACTTGTCCATTTCTGAACTAAGAAAAACACTAAAACACTATAAAAATCTATAAAATACTTGCTGATGCACTTCTATTAAGACACTCTGAGCGATCAAAGTGCCACCCTAGCTGATCCCCCTTCTCGAAAAAGTTCAAGTAAACTCCGCCCAATGGATCTGCAGAGCAAAACAACTTCTCCAAGCCAAAGGCCTCTTGAAGCAGCTGTCTCAAACCATCCCAGTGGAACAGCTCAACGAGTTCCGGACAACCTTCAGCCAATTCTGCTTGATTGATCAAGACCTTTGAACTGCTAAAGGATGCAGAGCGGATTCGACTTACATCCGCTTTCTCCTCAAGATACACATTGTGTTCTTCGAAGGATCTGAATCCGCAACCAGGTCGTTTTTTCAGCTGCTCCGCTGAACACAAGATCTTTCGGACGGCTTCGGGTTGCAGAAATCCAGGGATTTCGCAGATGCCCTTGGTGAGAATCTCTTGACGACACACAGCCCTGGCGGCCGAATAGGCGGCTCGATTCACACAACCTGGAAGCATCTGGAATGTGGAACCACCCAGGATTACTTTGAATCCATTTGAATCCTGAGGTTTCTTTGAACAGAATGATCACAAACAGATCCGGAGAGTGAAAAACACGTGGCTTCGGTCCTCCTATTTGGAGAACCCCCTTTCCCATCAAACACCAGGGATTCCCTGACACATGTTCTGCATAAACCAGTCCACCGAATTGACCGAACTGACATGGTCTGGCACTCTGTATGGGTGAAAATTGTCCACCAAAAATGCATGGTCTAAGACTAAGAATAGAAAATCCAAGAAATATCAAGAAATGATCCATTCTCTGGGTCCAATATGGTCCAATAGTACCTACATTTTGAACCACACGATCATCGATCGACGGTGCGTTTTCCCGCAGCTCTGCTGATCTGCTGAGTCCAGATCTTTGCCAAACCTTGGTGGTGGCTCCACGTGATGTGGCACGGATGTTTTTTTTTGGATTGCTATACTACTTTAAGCTCTGTGATCTTATGATTGTTTGTGGCTATAGCATTTTGCTGCATTATCATGTGAAGTTTACCTATCATATATATACATATATATATATACACCTAATATATCATCCTATATCATCTATACTGAATCTTCAAACGCCTGGTGAAGCGTTGGAAATCTTCCGAGGAATTGGCTCTCTCGCAGGGACGCCACCAGCAGCACGGTGGAATGCCTTGGATCATCTTGGATCCAGCAATGCCCAGGAAAAACGGTTGCCACATGTTGCCACCAGTCAGAAAAAAACATTTGAAAACTTCCCCATGAAAATCGATGAAAATCCTGACATGTCTGGATGATCTGAATAATATCTGAATGATCTGGAAATATTTTTGGCAACCGTACCTGGAAAGGACATGCGGAAAATGACCTGTAGAACTCACTGAAACCGGATCCAGGGTGCAGTGAGGAGTTTTGCCATCGCAGTTCGAAGTCATAGCCTTCACAAGTCACAAGTCACCAAGCAAACCATAGGACATGATATGATGTATATATATATATATATCATGATATATATGATATATGATATATGTGATATGATGATATGAGACGTATAGTGGTGACATAGTAATGGATAGTCATGCTGACATATGTGCATGTTTGTGAACAGAGAAACTTGCATGCATCCAACTACACACCCTCGAAACCTCTTCCCAGTGTGCGCTTGATTCCGTTGATCTCTTTGGGTATCGTCATCACCTGAAATCCGCAAGTGCATGAAGTCTCCAAGTTTCCAATCAATCTTCAAACACCACCGCAAGCGTCTGGCACCTGGGTTGCTAGGCTTCTGGCTGCCACGGTGTGAATCAATTGCTTCTCAAAGAGAGGTCTACCGCCCTGCCCATTTTTTCGCGAATCTGAGCTATGACAGCTATGACCCTCGTGATGGAAGACCTGGCTCCGACAAACGCTCGGCATCTCCGCAGGTCTCGCATATTTGTCGCGCCTTCAAGATGAAGTGCAGTGGACCACTCATTTGACTCATCCACAGCAGGATGCGACCCTGAGTCGACTTTTTGCATCACAAAACATGGGTGGTTTCCGCTGGTTTCCAAGCTGCAATCATGATTTGGAGAGGGTGGGTTCAACATGTTCAACCCCCATGGAAAGTAGCATGTGGACACAAACATGATCATCATCCCAGGTAAGGATGGTAAGAAGCCTCCGAGCCAAAGGGATATTCCTCAGCCAGGGTCCGGCAGGCCTGTCATGCGAAGTGGAAGAACCGATCTCTTTAAAGATGAGATCTACAGATCTACCTTTTCCAACTGTGGTTTTTGTATGGCTATGGGTCATTTGACCCTGTAGTCTAGGGGAACTTCAATGATATATTGTATACTTTCTGGTTGTTCAACAATATGTTCACCCCCTTAGCCATGATGATGTTTAAAAGCTATCAATCCATAGCCACATCAACAAGTGCCACCACCATGCACAATGGCCTGGCAGCCTTCACACTCCTCTTGAGTGTTGACCATGCACACGGCATGTGCCTGCAGAAACGATGCAGAAACGATGTCTGTATGGAGATATGGAGATCTTGTGGCTCTGTGTCTGTGGAAGATATCTTAACCCTTCGCAACTTGCGGTCATTTTTGGAAACAACATGAAACCATGCTTTCAGCAATATCAGCAATACTTTCAACAATAGCAGGCACACCATTTGTGACATAGTGTGACCAGTGCAACTGAAAACTGCCAAGGAATTTGGGAGCCTCCACACTCAAATTTGACAAAGCTGCAGTCCTCCCCGAGGGCAATGGATGGATGCAAAACTGACCAGCATTGGACTAGGACATATGCACATAATCGCACATAGATGCAGTGGAAATGCCAAAGGTGAATACTGTAATACATTTAGATTCCTGTTGTATGCATCCGTCTTGTCAATTCTCCAGATTTCTGTCTTTGCCATTGAGTGTCATGTTCCGAATATCATGCACCTGATTTTACAAATTGTACGGGTTGGTTGTAACAAGAAAACAAATACCATGACAGCAATACGAAGCAAATCAGGACCGATGTTTTTCTTCTTTGCCGACTTTGAGTCCACGCCAATCCAGGATCAGAATATTTAGAATGAAACACCGACACACGAATTGAAGCGTCTACAGCCTCAGCATTGAACAGGTGAAATCTGGGTAGAGTCTAGTAGAGGCCAACATTGGGCACCCAAACATTAGATGATTTATACACAACATGATCAAACACTGTGGATCACAAAATCTTCAATATGACCTATCCCCACCTCGGAACCTGCCCACGACCACAACACTCTCCTTTCCAAAGCACGGATATTGGACCAGCTCTTGTCATATGCCACAACTCGCACCTGGCTCTGCAACCATTGGGAGATCAAATTAGAAGACATTGGGACGCACTGATTCTAGTGATATTGAACAGATTGGATCAGTAACATCTGTATTAATCATACCATATTTTCAGGGCGCCCAGTTCTCAGTTCTTATCCAGTCATGCTTGATCCCAAAATAGAACCAACATGTTCAAATCAAGTCCTTTATCTGAATTCTGAACCCATCTGGGGATGGGTCAAAACCCTATCCCCCTGGTGAACATCAAAATAGCTGGTAAATGGATGTTCATCCCCCTAAAAATGGTATGTATATAGGTATTGATCCATAGCCATCTAGTTCTGAGAAAATCTGAGCTGGCAGTGCCGGTGCCCCCAGCCGTCCCTGAAACCAATGCGATCTCTCGCCTCTGGAAACTCATTCGCGGCTGCTGCGGCGCAGGCTCCAAACCTCAGCAAAATACCGTGGTGGTGACTCCGTGGCCAATCAATGGATTGGTTTAAGGGAAAATTGACTGGAAAACCTATGTTTTTTACCATTCGATCTGAGGGATTTCCCAGTTTGCTGTCAATGTTCAACTTCAAACAAGTCTGATAAACTCATTGAGTACACTGATCTTTTTGGGTTCTCTCATATATACCTGAATTATACATAAGTATATTTATAAGTTGTAAGGTATGGCCATGTGCCAGTGGAATGCACATCCAAGTCTCGCCACCTCCCTCAGGTCCCCAGCATAGATCCTACGTCAACCATGCAGCCGATGTCCCTCTCTTTAATCAGGTCCTGGCAAGAAAGAGCTCCGTCCGATGTACTGCGCATGTATTGTCCATGGATAAACCCCAAATCCAATGGTGGTAGAAAGTTATATAGTGTATGTATATATATATATACAATGATATAGTATATAATGTTAGATCCAATGGTTATATATATATATATAATTTGATGTATAACTTTCATATTTCCACATCAACACGACCACTATAAGTGGGCTATACCATGCTATACCCATTTTTAAGACACCTCCGATCATCTCCGATCCATCTGGTCGGAGAATTCTTGGGAGGTGGAGACCAGACACCAACATATCTGGCTGCTGGAATTCAATTCAATTAATTAACACCGTATTTTAAACCAACTATATACTAGCAATATATAATAATATATATTATATTCATGTGGCAAGTATTACCATAAATGGATGATAATCATCACCAAATGGTAGTTGCTGATTTTTGGGATTACCGCATTAGTTGATCTTGGCCAATGGGCCCCAACTGCTGGGCCCATCGCCTGCAGCTCCTGGCATCCAGGGCTACCTGGTTGCGGCCGCGCAACCAAAGTGCCGCGTATCCTGCCAGCCACGAAACAAGCAGTTTGCAAAAGACTCATCTTGAGTCCTCAAAAAGTATCAAAAAGACTGATAAGCAAACCTTATCCAAGTTTCATTATTCCAAAATTTTGTGTCTACCTGAGTCTACCTGTACAACTCATTTCATCCAACGAATTTCTCACAGTTCTCCGCATTCCCACCTCGCAGCAGTGGCGGCTGCCAGATCATGTCTCCATAACGAGGGAATGCACAGCTGAAGCCCTGCCCATATTGAGGTGGGCAACAACAAGCGATCCAACAGCGTGAGTACCTTAGGGGCGCCAAGATGGATGAGATAAGTTAGTTTGGAAATTCCAAAGGTCCCTGAAGCCTACTGGCCTACTGGTTGTTGATGGGTTTTCCCATTCAAATGGAATGGGAAATGGGAATTACTTTTTATCATTTTACGGGTCGCCCAAATTTGGTCTCATAGGCATATATCTACCATCTGGGTTTCAAGCCTTTTGAGTGGAATCTCAGTGCTGCACTGGAAATGGATGGAAGATCAAATCATGAAGTCTTGGTACCTTGTGCAGAACTGTGCACATGGGAGACCCATAATATCATAACATCGTGATGTCACTGCTATGTTGATGCTCCTGCAAGCTTGCAATTACCAGATTGGGGGATTACTACACTTCCCTTTCCCGAACAATGCAAAGCATATTTGCAGAACCAGTGCGCATGTCATCAGCAACTTACAACCAGAATGCCTTGCCCACCATGTCTGCCACCACATCAGACACTTCATCCAGTGCAAACGACCTGGCCATCCACTTTGAAGTTTCTTTGGAGGAAATAAAGTCACGTGGTGCACCCCTTAACAAACCATCCCCATTTTTTGTGTGCCAGGCATGGGTCTATGTTTCGTACCACGTATCGTATGGTACAATCAGCACCCCGAGGCTCCGACTGGCAAGAAGGCATCGTGCGGTCATCGTGACGAAGCTGCGCCTTCGTAGAAGCTGTGGAATGCCGTCATCAACTTTGGGATCCCACAAAACTGTGGGAATAATGATGAATCTGTTTTTCCCGTAGTGGCAAATGCAAAAAACAACTTGTCAACTACAAATGATGATCAAACATATGGAATTATAAATATATTTAAATATCAATTATCAATTGATTCATAAACAAAAATAGTATGAAATCATATGAAATCAACATCTTTAACACTTGGCACCCATGGCAGATTGGGAATGAACATCTTCAACAGCTAAGTAGATTTGAAGCAATGGCACCTGCACCAGCTGCCTCACTCCTCGTAGCTTGGGAGAGACTTCTGCGCAAAGCTCTTGGAGCTGCCGTTCCACATCTGGGCGGATGGATTGGGCAGCTTGGCAGCACAACACCAACCCAAACAACACAAACTGCCATGAAACATGGGAAAACCAGCTTTCAGGAGATTTGAGTCTGTGTTTGTTCATGCTTCCTAAATGTATAACTTATGTCAAGGAAAAACACAGCAAACCGATGTTGTCAATGCCAGCCTTCGTCTTGGTGCGTAGCCGTCTCATCCTGCCACAGATGGGTCATGCCACCCATGACATGAGGTGATGAACAAGCAGCATCCACCAGCGACCTTCAACATGTTTCAACAAAAAGGTGGGGATGAACATCCATAACCACCAGTGACCACCAGCTATCTTGATTTTCACCAGTGGACCAGGGTTTTGATTTGATCCATACCCGCATGATGCCGCATTACACCTGTGCCAGCACATCAGCGTCGCACCTTCTGCATGCTGCTGATAAAGGGTTTCAAAGGAGCAGCATGTTTCCACAGAAGCCGGAAAAATCTGGCAGGATGCACTGCTGAACAGCACAGGACTGGTGCAACATTTACAGCCTGAGACACAACATTGGCAAATCTATGGGACTGCAATTGTCTCAAAGACTTTGGTGAACGCTCACAGGTTCAAAGATGGCAAGTGGGCCTCCCATCCGCTTTGGCATCTTTCCATAGCGCCTCTTGCTCCTTGCATTTGGGAATCCTACCACCCTACGGACCCTACGCATCCAACTCCTCGAAACTGCTGTCCTCGATCAAAGTCACCGGAGGCTCAAAGAACAGGTAGAGGGCCTTCTCCCATGATCAGAGACTCAGCAAATTGATACAACTTCGATCATATGATCATCACACCACTTTTTTAACTGCCATGTCCAGGAGCTTACCTCCAACGTCCCAAAATCAGATGACAGGAGTGTGACTTTCTGTTGAAACTTCAAGGCCTGTAAATCCCTCCATTTCAGGCGCCTTTGCGAGGTTTAGCAATGGCCAACCACTCACTGCAATCTGCCGCCAGCTGAAAATTCTCCTGGGTCGGGTGCAAGGTTCAGCAAACAGAATCATTGAAGTAATTTAATCCTTGCAGCTCTTGATTTTTTTGCGCAACACTCCCCCAGGCCCATTGTTGGCGCTCACACTTAATAGCCTAAAGTCAAAAGAACGGAAACAAAAAACGACTTTTCATAATAGAAATGGCAACATCATATCCGAAGGCTACAATGAAAAAACGTGATTCTAAGGTGTTCACCAGCTCAATTGGATTTGGAGTAGACATGGCAAGTTTTTGACTTGAACCTACTGTTTCATGGTTAAAGAAGAAACAACCTTTCAGGGCTCAGTAGAAGTCACCAGCCAGTTGTCGAGCCATCCGCAAAAATAGATCTCTGCGACTTTGCACAATGCATCATAATCCATATATATATATATCATGGTTTATCAACATTTCCCCAGCCCAAATTATACTATATAACTATGACTAATGACTCATCACAATGTATGTTCTTAACCAGTAATTATACTATTTCATAGCCAAATCTTGGTTTCTCCCCAGTTTTTCAGCAATCTGCCAGCAATTTTTAAGCCTAGGCTCAGAGCAATCTGCATCATCCCCCAGGTGGATTGCGCGTGCGTCAGCTCCCGAAAGTCCAAGGCCACCTGTTTTTTGGGCTGATCTGCAAGGGATTTCACCCAGAAAATAACTCGTTTTAATTCGTTTTATCATGTTTTATCTCCTTAATGGTACGAGTATCTATTTGATCTCCGGAAATCTGTGACCTCCCAAAAAAATGCTAACCCCCCAAAGACATCCAATAAATGTAGATATAGAATTTTCGTCCCTGGTCAAATTGCAACTTTGGGGTGTAAATGTGTGTGTGCATCATGTTTTTGGACATTCATATATTTTCCGGAGATTTTGAAAGTCGTGATCTTGACTCAGCAACTTGCTCTAGTGAAAGCTATTCCTGGTAATCATCAACCAGCAGGGCACCTTATTGTTCTGCGTCCATTGAGATTCGACTTCCTCGGTTTTTCGATCAGAACCCCATTCACCAACCTCAAGGTTCGGCCACTTGGGGATGATTCCGCTTATTAACCATCCTTAAATTTTTCCTTTACTAAGCCTTATTAGGGATTATCCAAGATGAACTGCTGCAAGCGGAGATGGACTTGCTTCTGAGAATCGTGGAAGAAAAGGCGGAGAGACAGGATGCCCAACGGGTCCTGCAAAAAACGAAACTGTACGGTGAAAAGAGGGTCTGCAGTTGTTGCAGGTTTATTTGAAAACTGTTTCATCTTCATCTTGGCTTGCTTAGGTTGATGTCGTTTCTCAAAGGATTCTCACATCAATTCATCAAGCTTCAACGTATCTCGGGCATGCAAAGGCAATGCCGGAACCCGGAAGTGAGAGTATTTCCTTCCAACTTGAGCATTTGAAGGATACTTTTCTAACAGCAAGCGATGTGCAACGACTTTGGATTGCAAACTTTGGCAATCCGCAGTTTCACCCATCAGAGAAAGGCCACTTTGCTCCTTAGAAATCAGGACACTACAGTAGCACATCCCCATGCCACAAGCAGTGCACATAAGTTCACATCCAAATTCTCATGACAATCGCATGTTTCTGCCATAGCAATGAATGATGACAAGGGCTCACTGGAAGTCTTGTGGCACTAGCTTCTGGCCACTCCTAGCGGAGTTCGGACTTCACCGTGAATGTTGAGAATTTTCAATGCTACCAACATTTTTAAAAGGGATGCAATTCGCTGTTTCACATACTGCAATGGTTCAACAAAAAACATGTACCCCTCTGTGGGCGGGTTTGAAGATCTTATGACGGCAAAAACTGAGCCTGTCAGCTTCAAGTCAAGTAAACCCTCTTCAAAAGTTGCACAGGATCCCCCAGAAGAAACATATTGCGTGCATTTCCTCCACCATTCTCCACCCACACACGTCTTATTATCTTATATAGATAGATAATATCAATATCAATATTATATATATATACATAATAGTAATAACAACAATAAGAACAGTAATAACTATAGATATCTGTAGTAACAGTAACAGTATCAATATGTTTGGGCCATCAATATTACATCAATATCATATGTTTGGAGCTAAGATGACCCAGAATTCTGCTCCTTGCAATCACCTCCATGGAGCTTCACTGTGCAGGCCACCTGAGCAAAGTTTCGGCCCAGCCATTTGCTTGTTAAATTGGTCGATCTTTCACGGGTTTTATTATATTTATTTAAAAACATATAATTCTATAATATTCTATATCAATATGTAGTACTCATCAACTACTAGCAGATTTGTGTTTGGGATCAAAACCTCAACTTGTACTGGGGCGAAAGTCTGACTGCAAGAAGAACAACGCTTATAGTTGGTTTGTTGTGAAGGCTTGTGGTGGAGAAAGACCCATCACCCACGAAGAAATTTCACTCACTAATCACTAGACCACGGCCCAAAAATGGAAACGCGATCTGCCAAGGCTACAAAAACAATGCCCACCATGTTATGTTGAAGTTAGGATACAGTTTTGTATGATATCCCCATTGTTTGATTGGTAAACTCCCGATGTCATCTATGGTAAGCTGCTTGGATGTGCATCCAAGTTACTACAAGTGTTTATCCGTTTATATCCCACACACACACAAACCATATTCTATATAATATATTATAATATTATATATATATATATCAAAACTGGCTTAGAATAAGATTCTTCCCCACTATAACTTAGATGTCCCTGACAAGTTACCAAACATTTTTCACCATCCGTCACACCAACAACATCCACACCTCGCCGGGAGGATCGGCACAGGCATCGCAATGCTCGCCCGGTTTGCATTCGGCTGGTGGGGTGCCCAGCATATACCTCGAGACTGCGGCGTTGCAGGTGGGGATAAGAAAATGGGTGTAACCATGGGATTTTTACATATTTAACTATTTAACTGCCTAGGAAACAATGAAAACATCGGCAAAGCTTCTCCTTGCTGGAATTGTTGGACTCCAATAGGTACTTTTTGTGGACGGTTTGGTTCGGAAAGCTTCTCTTGAAAGGATTGGGTCGACAGAATCTGAAGTGCACTCTTGAGCCTGGTGCATCACTTCCCAGCCGGGAGACTTGTAGGTATGCCATCCAGTTCCAGCTGCTGGTGAGAAGTAGTACATCACTCCGCAGTCCTCCCAGGAGCACCCTGCACGGCTATGTCTTCACTACAAAAGCATCCGATTTCCAAATGCAAATGTGGCAAAAACAAATGGGTGGCGACTGGTGGGTATCCATTAAAATCGCTGAAATCTGACCAAGTGATAGTACATTTCAATTCCATCCAATTCCACCTATACCTCATGTACCTCATGTCACAGTGCGTTCAATGCTCCAGCATTGCTTCAGATGCCAAGCGCAACAAAAACTGCATCGCTGCATCTGCTCCTTGGTCCAATGTAGAGTTGGCTCTGTAGTATCGCACACATAGTCGAAGCCATTGCTACCTCAGTATCTGAATCTGCTAGGGGAGAAAGTTTCAAAGTTGGGTAGCAATCACAAATGCGCCAGCGTGTTAAACCCCGCAGCTGTATCAGAAAGCCGAACCAAACCATCTTCTCTCCGATTCAAAACGATTTCAAGTGCCATGGCAAAATAGACGGGAGAGTGCGCATCAATTAGTATAATGAAACGGCAAATTCAATCCATATCTTGCCATGGTAGATCTGGTAGACCACAGATCCATCATTACCATCCCATACCATCCCAATAGGTAGAGAAAACATGAGAACACCATCCAAGGGGCAGAATTCATGAAAATCTCTGCTGCAATGTGCTCCACCTTCCAGGTCGGTGCCACACTTCTAGAATCATAAGTTATCATAAGGTGTTTTGCCACGGCCAACTCACTTCAACAATCTTCAACAGATCCTGGTGATAATTTTGAATGCACAATTTGGAGGTTCAGATCCTCCCAAAGTCGCCAAAACGCCACATCTTCAAAAAGGAAAACGATCCAACAGTGATGCGACAGCGCCCGGGTGCCTTTGTGGTGCTGCACATGTTGATGTCCCATCAAGAAATCCTAGAGTCAGCTATCATCGAGTTCCAACAACCTTTCTCATAGGCAGGACCACTACAAACACCGTGGATGTTGACAAAATCTGGTTCCGAAAGCACCTGCTGGAAAAACTCATCTCATTTCCCAAAGATTCCTGGCCAGTCAACTTGGAATAGTTGGGCAATCCATAGGCCGCCCAGTCGGCATCTTGCGAATCAAATCGATGGTCCAAGTGATCCTCACAGCTTTAGCGCCACGGCTCTCAGGTTTCACGGTTTCACCATGCTCCGGGATTTCAGCTTTACGTGAAGACTGGTTACTGGTTGGAACAGTGGAAAGAAACAAACAAAAATGTGGATCCTTCAAGTCTCATGTGGCCCTTGAAACAACCAATCTTAGATATACAATGTGGTTGATTGGCACTTTCCCACGTGAAAAGTCTCACGACTTGTTGCCATCTGTTGCCATCCATCGATTGGCTCCTTCTCATAGAAAGCTGTCCGGCTCCTCCGGCTCGTGCCGGTGGCCGCGCCATCTCCTGACAAGTTGAAAAAAAAACACATGGGATGAACCAATGATGAACCGATCCAAAATGGCAAAATCACGGCATTTACTGATGATATTCGCTATGACAATCTATGACACTTTTCTGTACATCATCAGTAAAGATCTCCTACGATTTGCAAGTGTCATGGTCTTTGTCACAGGCAAATTATCAGATTGCTTCCAGTCCTGGGTCCAAGGATAGCTTGAAGCAAACGCACGGCGACCTGGATTCTCGGACTTTGATGACATGTTCTCATGTTGAATCATTCTCCATACGGCAAAAGGATGCCATAGGTATCTATCAAACAAATCAAGTCCTGCATAAGGTGACATCACTGAGTGTCTGGCATCGTTCGATCAGGGGCGCTAGCGCTCAGCCCACTGGGAAACTATGCATTGCTGGGCTACTCAAAGAAGTTGATTGATATTACAACCCATGCTTTCCTGAAGAACGACATAGTCAAGGTCTGATCTGATTCAAGTACAGCACTGTCTAGATGTAAAAACTAAGATAGATGCTGAGTAACATGGAATGGTCTCAAACTGTTGTTGATGTCGTCGCATTAGTCACCTGCACTCGTTGTTGCCACATCTGGGGATGGTTTTCGAATTGCTGTGCCATCCTTTTTTTCAGTGTCCTGTCGATGGAGCCGAAATTTGGCAGGCAGTTGGACACCTGGACATCTTCATACACAGCTCTGGCACTGCTTAGACTGAAGCATACTGAAGCACATGTTGTGGGATTGTGCCAGCCATCCAAGCCATCCAAGCCATTCAGCTCCTTGGAGGCCAACCAACTGGCCACATCTCCAAAGCAATGATGCGTCACATGGAGACCCGCCACATAGACCTGGAAGATACCGAAAGTTGGAGCCCGTCGATTCCCATTTCTAGATGATTTCTAGATGATTGTATGATGGTTTTATGATGGTTTTATGATGGTTTTATGATGGTTTACCTATTGCTAATTTATATAGTTAGTAATTGTTCATAGCCATGCTGTAAAATTACATAAAATCAACCAACATCTGTGGCTGGAATGTGTTGAGGTTGGACCTACACCCACACTAGTCACTTTTGTGTGGTTGCCCGACAGGATCTGCTGCCGCAAACGGAACTGCTGCCGTTTGCCCTCCAGCACTGATCTGAGCTCCATACCTCTGGCATCAACCAGAAAGCCCGCTTCACTTTGTCTGCAGGAGCCAGAAAGTCCTCGTCACTGGCAATGTAAGCAACAAACAATGCTGGATCTCGACAAAATGAGAGTTCCGAACCTTAAAAACCTCAAAACCAAATTGTGTTCCATATCGTTCCATAGTTTTTCCATCTTTACTAAACCCAAGATCCTATAGTGACCAGTGGAATCCAGTGGATCACTCAGTTGGCCCATCCCAGAGAAGTTCCCCTCGGTCCAGCGCGTAGACGTGGCTGGCCACGGCTTCTCTGAGATGGGCGAAGTCGAGATCATGGCAGCAGCAACCCTCACAGTGTCTCCAGCAATCCCCGCCTGGCTTCACCAGTTTGGCAGGGCAGATCAAGCCACGAAACAAAAAAACAAGGAATGAGATACCCTCTGGTTATTTAACATAGCCATGGAAAATGGCCCATTTATAGATGGTTTTTCCCATTGAAACCTCCATTTATGAGGGATTGTCCATGGCTATGTTAAATAACCAGATAAAAAATGGAATATGAATGAATATGATGGAATGAGATATGTTAATGACAAAGAATAAGAATGATATGACAATGATTGATATGTTCATACAATATGTACTCAGTCCCCAAAATGGAAACTTCGAAATACAATCGAGATCCCCAGCTTGCCATGCTTCAGCTCAACATCTTCAACCACAACTGCAGCCATCCTTCATATCCAGCGTGGAACAAAATCTCTGGAGATAGATGGACATTATCCTCCCAACCAAGCTGCTTGAATTTGGTTGAACGCCTATGAATCCCCAATGAGGCCTCTCTCCGTGCTACAGCATGACAAGTAAACCTCAGATGACTGGCTGACTGGCGAATGTTCTGCTTTCGCTTGATTATATCATGTCATATCATGTCATATCATGTCTAATTTACATCCCATGGTCCCATGGTTTGCCATTGATCACCCAACAAACCTCCGCAGCTCCATCAACAAGCAACCTGCGACCAAGTCTTCTCAAAGCTGGGATTCGCATCCAAACTCACCAAATCTGAAATCAGCATGCCATCATTGACAGCGCCAGTGACAGCCCGTGCTTTCGGAGCTGGGAGCCGTCACATCAGCATGGCTGATTCAACTGTGGTCATTGTTCAACAGAAGTGACACTTGCCTTGGCGTTTGACCATTGTTTCTGTTGCTGCTCCACGGAGCAACCTTGCAGTTGCAGTCATACAACTGCCAAAACGAGATGTCTGGCAGTTCTTGCAATCATGTCTTCCTCTGAACCTTTCGGCTTTCAAGTGAGCATGGTGTAGTTTCTGCCACTCATCAAACGATCATCAGGAAGGAACCAGCAAGACTGTAGAATAATTAGATTTGAAACTTTCATCATCTTGCATCTGTGTATATCTATATTCAGATTCGCACTAGAGTTACTAGAAACAATTCCAGCAAACCGCCAAGGTTTTATGATGGGATTTTATGAAGCCTAGAACAACCATCCTCAAATAGCCAGAGGTTTCATGACACCCATCAACCCTAAAGAAAACACAACATCAAATGAGCATAGAGACTCCAGCATCAATGATGATTGATTTAAATTGATTAAATGGTTGCTTTCCCATCATTTCCAGATATCTCCTAAGTACCAAAATCATCTGATCTTCTCTATCAATGCGGTTGGGGCCCACTCAATTCGTTTCTCCAACCGACTCCCCTTCCACAATTTTCTTGGCAATACGGCCCGCTCCCTTCCAGTGATTTCTTAAGCAATGACTTCCACTGCCCCGCTCAAAATCAGCTGATGCAGTAGCTGAATGGCGCTTTGGCCCAGTCGTTCCACCTCCATCAGCCGAAAGGGTCGTCCCTGCGCAGACAGCTCGCTGTAGAGGCCCAAACAATAGCGGACTGCTGAGAGCTGCTGTGGAGTCACAGGAAGCACCTCGGCCAAACGTTGTTTTCTTTGGGGATTTATATAACGCAGATATAACTGGGATATACCTTCTGGTAATTTAACAGTTTGCTATAGACAATGATCATTTTAAGTAGGTATATGATCGATAAATGGGCCATTGTTCATAGCTATGTTAAACTGGCAGAGGGCAAAACCTTTGTAAAAAGGGTTGACACAACGGGTAATTAAGATAAACGGAACGTAGTAGTGAAATGCGTCAAGTCCAAACTTGAGTGGCTTAAAGCCCTATGCTGGCCATTTAAGTATGACAATTTAGGGGTATACAAACGGCATAGCACAACCCATTCTCATCTAACTCTTATCGAGATATGTCAGATATGACAACTTTGGGGTACGGTACAACTCATTCATGTCTAGACAAACCCAAATTTGGCACCAATGGGCCCACAAAATGTTAGCCAAGTCTGGAAATTTAACTCATCTCTTGGTCCCTTGGTGGTTGGACAATTTTGGCCAATCCCCACCTGGTTGTTCATAATCAACCTGGCTGGGATCACATCATCCAGCAACACGGCGCGCAAAGCGGATCTGCGCACAAATGACGCTTTCCCTGAAATCTTTGCAGGGAAATCGTCCAGTTTTGCACGTGTAAAAAGCTCATGATGCAACTTTCTTGCTGAAGATAAGGACTCAAACAGGTGAGGTTTCTGCAGTTGCAGCCCAGCATGTTTGATGGAATGGACACGTGCCAGTTGGAGAGCCCAAGGAAGTAAGTCCTCTGACTTCTTCTGAAGCTGTTTCACCAGCTTCAACATCGGCATCCTGCGACCATCCAACAACACCTCCATTGGCCCATGCTCAGGCAGAATCGTCAGCAAAGATGTCAGCAACTCCTTCAATTGCGATTTCACGCTGGGAAGATACTCAGCTGGTAGATCCTCGTTGCACAATGGAGTCAGCAGCAACCTGGAGGACCTTCCCACTTGGCCGCCGCCAGGCAGGCGATGCATCAGTGGGAGCGATGAGGACACCGTGAGCATCAGCCGGTAGAGGTCGTTCTCTTCATCATCAGGGGCAAACTCGTTGCTGGCAAGGAACGCTTCGATGGTCAGGTCGGGTTTCGCAACTTTGTGAATCATCGCAAAAATCAGCGCCAACCAAACATAGTACTGCCTCTCAATGTTGACCGTCAAGTGCATGGAATAGTCAGAAGATGTACTTGCTTGGTGTAAGGTGCCATAAGGTAAATACATCACATCACCTTGTTGCATTAGGACCTCCTCACACGTTCCATTCAGTTTCAGTGGCAGCTGGTCGTATCTTTCACGCGGTGCCATCCAACTAGTCACGTCACAGACCTTCCAAGATTTGGAACCACCCAGTTGAACCATGAACGCATCCATGACATCTGAATGCATCCCATAGCTTTGCGAATGTGGTGGAGTTAAATACATGTAGACATCCACAGGTAGATCCGCAGCTGCATTTAAGTCTTTGGCTACCCTTTTTCCAGGTTCAGACCATCGGTTTAAAGAATTGATCACCATTGAATGACCCTGTAAAAATGCTTCCTGGATATATTGCACTGGACTGGGGTTGTCGGATCGAAAAGCCTTCTGTGTCACTGGATGCTCAAGTGTCTCTATGACCTCCTCGTCTCGGCCCTGGCTTTCCAACCAATCTGCCACGTGTTCCAAGGTGATGGGAACAAGGGATTTGTTGTGGGGAAAATGCGACCATTGTTTTTCAAAAGTTCCAGCAAAAAACACATCAGCTTCTAAAGGGTAGATCCAGTCTTCCAAAATATCTGCCCGGGCAAACATCAAACAGCAAGTCAGAGCCACGGCGACACAACATGCGCTAGGCATCAAACTCACGCTCCGGAGTTGCATTGTATTCAAAATGGGCAATTTTTTCCACACCTTGCTCCCTGAGTTCCTTCAGAACGCAACCGCGATAAGTGTCGAATTTTTCTCGACACGGATCACTGTCACTGGATAAGTCGCCACTGAGGAAACTGGAGCGATACCACTGGATGAAGCACCGATCGTAGGCCTCTCGATGCACCGCGCAGGTCTTGGAGGCAGCTGCCACCGCCTCGCCCAAGCCACAGCTCCGGGTGGCCATGCCGCGTTCGCTGGAACCACCGTGGCCGCAGAAGGCGGTTAAACACATATGGATCCATGGACAGGACATTGTATTCTCACAGAATATCTGCATGGTTAGATATGGATCTAAAATGATAATATATATATATATAATATATATTATATATAATATATACTGTTGTTACAGTTGTTGTTATTTTGCGATATTCTGGGGCACTTCATAGTAATCCCATACCATCAGAATCATACAGCGATTGGTGGAAACTCATCCCGAGCAGAAACTGCCAGAATGGCTGATCCTCCTTTGACCGCAACCTTCAGGTAGCATAACAATGGACGCAAGGGAAATAGAACTTATATAATTGTTTAGAACTCATTCTTGTTCCAGGTGAAAAAGACTTCTTTTTGTCCTGATGTCACCAGCTCATCCTTGAGACCCTGGGCACTTGCTGGCAGACACATTGGTGGAACCTTCAGCATGACCCAGACCTTTGCCGCCAGCTAGAGCCAGCAGACAAGCTGTGTCCAACTTGCAACAAAGACACTGAGTGGACATGTTGGAAAACTATCCAAAACTCACTGTGTCAACCACTTCCAACCATGTGGTACCTCGGTGCGGTGCGGCACTGGCAGTGCAGCACGACACCGAGGTGCCTTTTAGCAAGTTCCTCCGCAAACTCTGCCCAAATTGAGCTGTGCCACCACAAACTCCCCTGACATCGGCCACCAGCAAGAGCTGTCAAGAGCCAACAGAATAAGCAAAGAAGCCGTGCTCGCAACTTCCAACAGCAGCTGATCGCTTGTGCCTGATACCGTGATACAAAAGTTATCAAAAGTCATCAAACTGACCACGTTGAAACTGTTGTCAACGGCATCCAAACCCTGGTACCTCGGTGCGGTGCGGCACTGGCAGTGCAGCACAGCACCGAGGTGCTCGGGTTTGGCTTCGATGTGTGGCAGGGTTTTCGAGCAGTCCGATAGTCATCAGGTCACATGTGGGCGAACGACCTCATCCAACCATCATTCAAACCATATCGCAACATCTTTCACTTGCATCCAACACGTAAAACAGCACCTGAGCCGCCTTCTTGCTGGCTGTTAATGACTTTGAAATCATTTGAAACCAGTTGAAACCGTTTGAAACCTATGCAACTACACTGATCTGATCTTTTGGAAGTTCCCCTACCACTCTAGCAAAATGCCGAGAGGCAGAAATTGCGCAGATCTGCCCACATCACAGGATACCATGGTGGTCCACGGCCTGCAAAAACAGGAAGGAAATCTCACTGTTCATGACCTTTACTCCAAGGATGAAGATAAGGAGGATTTACACCAGTTGAAGGCCTCTCAACAAAACAAGGTGACCCAAAGAAAATCAAAGAAACATATGGTTTGAGATTCATGAGCAAAAAACTTGCAGCTGTGCTGCAGCAATTGACGCAGCCGCCCTGCTACAAACCAGCTACAACTAAGGTTGAACCAAGTATAGAGGCAACCAGACTTCTGCTGAACAAGGCTACCACAAAGGATTCACAAGTCTCCACAACTACTGGAAGGACATGAGCAAGCTTGAACATCTCTGAGATATGAGCTTCTGGACTTAAATATTGCTGGTGAGCTGGCTGGATGTGGCACCCAAAAAACAGTTCCCATTCAAACATCATTGACAATTGATGATCTTTGGTTGAAGTGAGTTGGTGCGACGAGTTTCCTCCAGCAATAACAGCCTCACTTTCTGAGTCAAAACCCAAACTGCGTACTGAAACTGACCACACTTCCCACACCGCGCTTCAGTTCCAATTTTTCATTGACCAAATGTGCCAGCAACAAATCCTTCGCTGCAACAATCTTCTTGAAATGTTCCGTGTAAGCAATCTTGAGATGTTCCTCCACTTTGTCAGGATGGAATATCAAAACTCTCTTTTTGAAAGCTCGTTTGATTTCTGCAGCTGTCGCACCACCTTCAATTTGCAGAATCTCTGCAGCCTTCTGAAGATCAAGACCAGGAAAGGCCGTTTCGGGAGTTTGGTTTTCCGCGTCCTCAAAGGTGCCCTTTCGTTGGTGCTCATCCCACCACTTCTCCTCTGACGAACTTCCTGCCGTCTCCTCCCCAAAGACTTCAACGATCTTCGTAGGGTCATCCTTGAGGCCTTTGATGTGTTTCAGGAAGAGTAGCTCTCTGCTCGCACGTGTCACTGCCACATATGCCACATTCTGTTCTTGGATCCGTTCCCACTCCGGGACATCTTCGCCTTCCGCAAGATTCTTTAGAGGCAGGCTGAATGGTTGAAGGATGTAGACGGAATGCCATTCCAAACCTTTGGCCTTCAGGGTTTAAGCTTGGCAGCTGAACAACTTCAAAGTAGCAATCCAACATATTTGTTTCCCTACTGATTTGCAGTAGAGGTTTATAATTTACAAGATATTTTAAACCGAGAGGCAAGTGTACTTTGGTCATCTTTAGCCATAAACCACCACAACATGTGCATATTTAGGCCATGGGTGGAACCATTTTCAAACCTCATCACCATTTGATTCCAAGGCTAAATGGGATCTGAATCGCTTCCCCGTGGATCCATGGCCCATGGCCTTATGTATCGAAGACAGCGTCACACATTTCTTGTGCTGTCTGAAGCCGAACACACGGTCCAGCTCCGATTCTAACCTGAGGACTTTGCAGAGAACAGTGGTTGCGTTGGAGTGTGAAGGCTTCAAAAGTATGGTTTACCATGGTCAGCAATAAATAAACATTATATAATTATGTAGATTCCAAAAATTGTTCAATCAGTTCTATGAAACCTTTAGCCATGAAGAATGTCATGACATGGTTTTCTGAACCACTACCAAGAACCAAATTGAAGCCATACTGAATCCCAAGCTCGACACATACTTACGTTGTGACTTGACTTGTTTTTTTACTTTTAAATCCTGAACTATTCAGAACTATATTTCACATTTTCCACTTAACCAGAGCAGCATCTTCATGGAATCAGACTCGTTCATCCTGTTGATGCAAAACTCCAAGCAGTCCAGCAAATCCTCGTCATGCGCTTTCTGTGTGCGGGAGCCAGACGTCGCGGCGCGACTAGTTCGGTATTTGATCAAGGCTCTGTGAATTTGACCTCAGGGCTGGATGGTTGTTGGTGTATGCCCTACCTGAAATGAGTTGAACAATTCTGACTGAGAAAGTGTCCCATGTTTATGGCATTGGTTTCTTCTAGTTGTTCAGTTCCTCCAGGTGTTGAGCCTCTTTTGTTGGGAAAGCTGGGCAACCCCCAAAAAATCATTAATATCGTAGAATCAGAATGTCTAGAAATCACATCAGTTCAGACCCCCTCAAAAAAAAAACTGTCACCCAGGAACCCAAGGAGGGCTCTCTGATCGCCATCTCCATGTTGTCCATAGCCTGGTTGATGATATGCATTAATTCTCGGGTCACCTCTTTCCCACCCTTCAAATGTGATGGAATGCCACGCGCCAGCAATTTGTAGTGCAACATCAACAAGGGCCTGGCTGCGGAGATCTGCGGAGCAAAGAGGAGCAGAGGGGGTGAATGAAAAACCCTAAGTCAATGATGGAGTGGGAAGCAGAAAGTGTAAAACACATCCAGAAAAAATGAACCTGGTGGTACTTTCTTGCTTTTGAAATCAACAAACCATGGCGATATGTAAAAACCAGCCAGGTTACGCATTGGTTCTGCACAAAATGGCCACATCATTATCATGTGATCCTCGTAAGGGAAAGTTGGCAAAGGTCACTTCTGTTTCCGTCTTCACATTCTCTCGCGCCCAATTCCACCAGCGCCCGGCAATGACACCGACGTGCGCAGTGGGAGACGGGTACATTTGCACCTCTTCCCGCTTGTAGTAGCTCCTCAGACTCAACCCACAAGTGTCAGTGTCCATCTCAAAGTTGGAAACGCAAAGTAGAAAGATCTTCAAAACAATGGCGAGCAGAATGCATAGCTGATGCTCCGTCTCGAAATTGGTACTGTAACATGTTTGTGAGGATCGAGTTCATGCTGAAATCTGATGCTGTTGATTCACAAACTGCTGAAACTCAAAAAAGAAGGAACACATCAATCCAACCAACAGGCGCTAGCTTGAGTCCCTTTCCCCAGGAACCGTTTCTGTCTTGGTGGAATTTCCCCTGGATGAGCCATGTCTTCCAAGTTTCAGCAGCTGATTGGCCAACTGCACGTGTGATGACGGACACCTCCAGGTGATGGTCAAGGGGAACTTCGTGGCGCCGAACTTCTGTTGGAAGGATGGCAGCGAGTCATGCCGGGCGCCGGTGAAACCATAGATGGCCTGCCGCCATAAATGGGTGGGTTGCAGACATGCTCAGTTGGTGTTCTGAGGTGTTCGGATCAAAAAAAATCCTGGTCTTCACCCAAGCTTTCAGGACGCAACCATATTCCCCCAGCCATTCACTGCAACAAAGATGGACAAGCCCTGGCCTGACACGGGTCCCCCACAGCAATGACCCTGGTGTTCTCCTTGCAGAGTCTCTTGACCAGCAACATCCGGACGGTATTCAAATCTTGTGCCTCGTCGACATAGATCCAATCCTGGGATGTGGCTGGGTTCGCCAGCAAGAACAATGGAACTATTTGCAACAGCGACAGCAACAGCAACAGCAACAGCAACAACAACAACAACAGGTTTCACCAGTAAAGAAAGGGACTTCCACAAACATGGTAGAGCTGATATCCAAAGGAATTTTGCAAAATAAAATGGACAACAATGGAGGGAGGCTTCTGAGTTTGGTAATTATGACAAAAATTCAAACACTCAAGTTTCGACAGTGAGGTTTCAAACCACATCTCACCCAAATAATCAAACATTCACGGACACGGGGTCCCCATCAAAATCTGGGAGGCTCAGTCCCAGCATCGTATTTCTGAAAGGGCAGGTTCAACCACAATAGCATGAACAGCATGTCATCATAGTCCATCATGCCACCCTCCACAGCTGTCTTGGATGCAAGGGCTATGCTTGCTTTCCATACCTCCTTGGCGCACTTGATACCTTCACGGACCGCTGATGCTACTGAGTCCTCTGGGGCCTTGTCCATCTTGAGATAGCGTTGCAAGGAATTGTGGTGCACTAACCATTCCTTGGAAGCAAACACAAGGAGCACTGGAATGACTGGGAGTGAAAACTTGGAGTTGCAGGGCCTTTCTGCAGATTGTGGTGGAAAAGTAAAACAAAAGAATCATGTCTGGAACAAATCCATGATTCCCAACTCTCATCACAATCCTCCAGGCAATCGTCTAGTCCAAGGCCATAGTTCTTTGCAAACGACACGAGTTTCTTCACAAACTGCGCCACATCTTTGTGCAGCTCCGTTCTCCCCTTCCGTTTGGAATGGGGGTACAGTTTTACCAACAAACGCTGGGACTTGTTCTTCACCAGCGGGTTGTTTGGCCTGGGATGTGTATTGTGTATCTTCCAACACCGAGCAAACAAACTTGTGACCAACCCGATCTTAGCACAAAGCCCTTGAAAGTGCAGTTTCTTTTTAGGTCTAAACCGAACCTGAATGAGAGAAAACACCAACGGCAAAGTATATTGAGTAGTAGAAACCTGCCAGTAGGCTTCGCATACTGGACTTTACAACAGGTGAGCTTTAAGATTACAGGAAACATGCCAAGTTTAGTTGTTGTCAAAGCAATGAGTTCAACAAACGCAACGAAGACTTGAAATCGTCGACATCCTCCGACCCATCAGAGAATACGATGGACTCCTAGCAAGTCTAACCAGTGTCTGAGGAATATTCACCAACATTGTGATTGTTTGCAGGGGTTCCGAAGAAAATGCAAAGGTAACACATGTGATTCTCGTTTGATGAATTCCTTTGCTATCTGATATCTGTTTTTGAAGACTCCAGATCAAATCATGTCCCATCATTTGCCCAAACCTGCCCCAAAAATTACACCAAAATTCACCATATCCCAAAGAACCACCAAAAATCACCCCAACAATTCGTCAAAATCAACACAAAACGGCACAAACCTGCCCCAAATCGTCTCATTCTCCCCCAGTGACTCGACTTCTTCCACTTCGCTCTCGGACTCGTTGCCCTCCTCCCCCAGCTCCTCCCAACGTTGGCGTCGCTGCTGAAGCACTGGGGCGTCGGCGTCGGCGTAGCGCTTCCGCCAGAGCCACCAGCCCAGCGAATGCGCCGTGCGGCTGGGCATGCCACGCTTCATCAGCTCATCCACAATGGCCTGCCATGACTGTGGATCCCTCCACTTTTTCTCAAGGGATGGTTGATAGAAGCTGCAAAAGGTGAGGTCTCTACTTTCGGAGTCATTTCTATCAGGATTGGAGATGTTACCAAACATGAATCTATGATGGAACCAACAGACTTCCCAAGAAATTGGGCACATCGGGTTATCTCTTAAGATTTGAAACAACCCCATTTAATCCCATGGTGAAGAAAAGAGGTTTCCGATTGCAGTGCAAGATGGAGCATCCGCCATTTAGAGAACCGGTATTGTCAAATCCTGATAGGGCATATCTCAACCTGCGCATGAATTTGCAGCCGATATGACATGTCTCCAAACTATCGCAAAAGGATCACGATAAAATACTCATGGGTAAGTCAGTTTTCCATGTCAGGTTTCCCAAGAAACTCTAGTTCAACAGGTAATTCTTCCAAATGCTTCGAATTTGCCAGATCCATATGATTTTTTCTTAATTCAACTGCCATCCAAGCAAATTTGATGCTTCATCACCATCATCCCCATCAAAAATGGAAAGAACTTGGGATATATGGCACCCTAGTCCCAGGACCACTGGCCTTGTTGAAGGCCAAAAAAATGGACTTGCCATTCCTTCTCTGCAGATAGCACCGGATGATCGTCGAGGTCTTGCCGCTTCCAGCCTTGGCCTCGACCACGGCGTTCCCTGTGCCCCATTTGGTCCATCCTTAGTCCGAAAATGTCGATGTTTACGGCGAACCCCAAAGAAACATGTAGATGGACAGAAAAACATGTATAGAGTGAAATCAGTGAAATCCAATCCAACCATAAAAAAATATATAAAATAGTCATAAAATCCGTTCATATCTTCTTGGGGATTTACTGTAGATATCTAATAGAGTGTGAATCCTCATGACGTCAATCTTTTTTCTGAAGGGAACAAAGACAAAAATGGCAAAGGATGTTCAACCTATCCTAGAAATATCAAGGAAATGATGGGTCAAAGCCCAACAAAATGCTCCACAGCAGCGCTTTGGCTGGTGATCCCATGAACACTCCCACGATTTCACCAAAGCATCTCAGAATGGCTTCCTGCTCCAGCGTGTTCTTGTCCTTCTGGATCTCCGCCAAGACTTGTTGTTCCAGTTCCCGCCTCCTGCGCAACATCCAGCCCATCTGGGACATGTGGGTTATTGTGGGTTCATACTGTGATGAGTGGCAGGGTCGAAATTGCAAAGTCTTCCTCTTTTCACCCATCCATTCCAGATTGCTTTGCAAAAATCCAACCATCTGAATTGGTTCATCAAACATGGTACTAACAATGTTGAAGCAGCCGTGTCAAGCCCAGCTCCTTTGTTCATGCGCGCATTCTTCACATTGCCAGTAGGAATTGGAACCTCCTTTGGCAATGGGCTGACCAAGCATCTGCTTGCCGCATCCACGGCAGAGTTGGTGATAGCTGGCTTCCTGGCAACAAATCAGGTGATGATCACCTGATGTGAGAATTTCAAGTGATCACAAAATACTTGGGTATTTGGTGGTTTTCCGAGAATAGTCAGAATGATATCAAAACAATCCATTCCCAATTTTATTCGAACGAGGACCCCAACTTCCAATGCCTAGCACATGCCTAGCACATGCCCCATGGTTGCAAGCCCACCTCCCATCTTCAGATCCCCACCTCCTTGTAGGGCAGCGGCTCATTGGTCAAGGATCGCGTCCCCAGACGTTGCGCTTGGCATCTCAAGCAGTCTCCGCAGCGCAGGGCGTAGGGTCCGTCGCGCACGTGTTGCGGCTGCCACGACACCACCGGGCCATAGTTTGCCATGGCTGTTGCCAGTTCAAATGCACATCACTGGACCACGGCACATGGCAAGCTGCTGAGGTGACAAAAGGTGACTGGGTGAGGTCTGACTCTGGCATGTGGCAAAGTGAAAGTCTTGAGATCCTGCAAGATGAGAGTGTGAAAATGTCAGAGGGATGATTTGTTTATCTGCCACACTGCAATTGTCTGACGTGAATCATGATGTGGTTCTGGGCTCATCTTGGGTCTCGCTGTTCGGCCTGCACTTATTGATCAACATGATGAATTGGGGAATCACATCCTGTCAGGTCTTCGCATGACAAGGTTTTAGCGCAGCTGGCTGTCAATGTCTTAGTCTGTTTCATGACTTGAGCAAAGCCAGCGAGAGAAGCAAAAAACAAAACAATGCGCACAGCTTGGACTATGGATGTGCATTTCAATTGGATCCAGTTGATATGTCGTTCAAAAACCATCGTGGCCATGGTTTTGGTCCAGCCATACATGCATAAACCCAGATGATATATGAGATTGTATGTATTTTTGATCTGATTGGGATGCACATTAAAGCACTGCATGGCGGCTTGCATCTGCCCTGATCACACACTGCGATGACTGGAGGCACACAATAATTGCTGACAGCTGGTTGGATTGGTGATAACAATTGTTGGAAATATTTGTAGTATGGGTATAGTTGGTATAATACAATGTTCCCAATGATATCCATACCACTTCTATATATAGAATTTCTGAATAATAATATAGTTTTACAATGCCATTTATATCATATATTTTTTATATTGGGGGTTGATGCTGATTAGTTGGACCAAACGTTCTCCCCCAAGAGATGCCTCGCCGCTGCGGATGCTGCAAATCCTTCGGCTCCTGGGCGTAGCCAGGTGGCTATTTCAATGGGGAAACATGGGAAAACCATGGTAAACCTTCGGATTTGAGGGGGTGTTCCCTATTTTTGGAAAATAAACAACAACATCTTTGGACTTCCTGCCAGAAGAATCAATACGCGATGATATTTGAAACATGCTGAAACTCCGTTCATCAAGTCATCCTATGAACTTAGAATCGGAGGTCAATACACCTGCATAGATCCAAACAAGCAATAGTGAAAGGCCCTTGACTGTTCCTTTTTCATCGACTGCATTCGATTACAGTATCACAAAAATGTTGAGATATGTTGTGTCTGACGCCTATGTCTATCCAGGTTTTTAGGACGGGCTTGAAGACAAACCAGGAAACAAGGCTGAGTAACGCTGTTGCAAAGCCAGCACAAGCAAACAAAGAAAAACAAAGAAGAACACCTGGATACCATATATCATACAAGACGGTGCACATAGGACTACAAACATCAGTGCAGGTGGGAAGCCCTAAATGCACATATCTATAATGATCTATAATGTATATATATGTTTTTGTCTTCCGCCCACGAGGTCCCCCCCCCCCGAATGGGATGGGTCTCCAGGTAGCACCCCCCCTTCCCTTTTATTTGCAAGCTATTGGCAACATTTCTGAGGTCCAGCCTCGTATTTGCTAGGTCTTTGCAGCGATTCTGACTACCAGCCTCCCATTTACTAGGTACATGCTACCCTTTAGACGACCTACGTAACACACATACTCCCTCAAAGTACCCACGTGCTACCTATAGTCATATATACATGTGCTATGTAGCTACTTCCTATATACATATATATATATATATATAAATGTAAGTGTTATAGATACATACATATATATATACGCAAATATACACATGTATATATATATATGTATATATACATATACATATATATATATACATGTGTATATATATATACATGTGTATATATATATATACGCAGTACCACACCCCCACCACACCACAGGGGGGGCGGGGAACATAGCTCCTGTATATCCATACCCATTCCTACTACTAACTACTACTAACCCCCCCACCCCCCTACCCACCCACAGGGGGGGGAACATAGTTCCTGTATATCCATACCCATTCCTACTACTACATACTACTAACTACTACTAACCCCCCCACCCCCTACCCACCCACAGGGGGGGGCGGGGAACATAGTTGCTGTATATCCATACCCATTCCTACTACTAACTGCTACTCACTACGACTAACACTAACACTAACAACAACAACAACAACAACTACTACTACTACTACTACTACTACTACTGCTACTGCTACTGCTACTGCTACTCCTACTCCTACTCCTACTCCTACTCCTACTCCTCAGAGTACGGTTTAATTGCGAAAGAAACCGGATGCCATGGCGAAAAAAAACATGTTAAATTCGAATAAAATCAAAGGTATGGAACAATCGAAACAAATACCTATAATATGCCTCTAGGGAGGGGAATTTGAAATTTACTGTTCATCACCTTTCATCATTCATTCCCAGCTCTTCTCCCTTCTCTCTTCTCTTTCTTCTCTCTTCTCTGTCTTCTCTCTCTTCTCTCTTCTCTCTCTTCTCTCTCTTCTCTCTTCTCTCTCTTCTCTCT